ACCCAAAAAATAAAAAAGAAATCAAAAAAAATTCCCCAAAAAATTCTCCAACAATTCCCAAAGAATTCCCCCAAAAATCCCCCAAAAATCCCAAAAAAATCCCCAAAATTAAAAAAAAAATTCCTCAAAAAATCCCAAAAAATTCTCCAAAAAAAAAATCCCAATTACCAAATTTTTTTTCCTGAAATTCCCCAGAATTCCCCTAAAAAATTGCCCCAAAATCCCAAAAAGTTCCCAAAAAAATTCCCCCCCCCCCCCCCCCCAAAAAAAAAAACCTCCAAAAATCCCTGAATTTTCTTCCTGGAATTCCCAAAATTTTTCCCAAATTTCTTCCTTCAATTCTCAAAAACATTCCCCAAAAAGCCCCAAAAAATCTCCAGAAAATTTCCAAAAATTCCTCCAAAAATCCCAAAAACTTCTCTCCAAAATACAAAAAAATCTCCCAAAATTCCCAAAAAATTGCCAAAAAAAATTGCCAAAAAATCCCAAAAAACCCCCCAAAAAATCTCCAAAAATATCCCAAAAACCCCCAAAATCCCAAAAATTCCAAAACATCCCCAAATTTCTTCCTGGAATTCCCAAAAAAATCCCCAAAAACTTCCCCAACAAATCTGGAAAAATACCCCCAAAATTCCCAAAAAATTGCCCCAAAAATTTCCCAAAAAATCCCCAAAAATCCCTTTAAAAATCCCTCAAAATTCCTCACGAAAATTCCGCAAAAAATTTTTTAAATTCCCAATTCCCCAAATTTTTTTCCTGCAATTCCCCGAAATTCCCCCAAAATTCCCCAGAAAAATAAAAAAAATTGCCCCAAAATTCCCAAAAATTCCCCAAAAAATCCCCCCAAAAATCTCAAAAAATCCCCAAAAAATTCCAAGAAATTCTGAAAAATTCCCAAAAGTTTTCTCAAAAATTCCCCCATAAATTCAAAAAAAATCCCCCAAAAATTCCTTTAAAAATCCCTCAAAAAATCCCCAAAAAATCCTGAAAATTTTCCCCAAAATTCCCAAAGAAATCCCAGAAAATAAAAAAAAAAATTCAAAAAATTCCCAGAAATGCCCAAAAAAACCCAAAAAAATTCCCAAAAAAATTCCAAAAATTCACAAAAATCCTCAAAATTCGTTCAATTCCCAAAAAAATCCCCAAAATTAAAAAAAAACCTCAAAATTCCCCAAAAATTCCTTTTAAAATCCCTCAAAATTCCTCCCGAAAATTCCCCAAAAGATCCCAAAAAATTCTCCAAAACTTTTCCAAAAATTCCCAAAAATTCCCCCCCAAAAACCCAATAAAATACGCCAAAAATCAAAAAAAAATCCCCCAAAAATCCAAAAAAATCCCCCAAATTCTCAAGAAATTCCCCAAAAAGTCCCAAAAAATTCCCAAAAAATTTCCCCCAAAAAATTTCCAAATTTCTTCCTTCAATTCCAAAAAAAATCCCCCCAAAACTCCCTCCAAAAATTCCCAAAAAATTTAAAAAAAAATCCCCAAAAAATTCCCAAAACGTCCCTCAAAATTCTCCACAAAAATTTCCCCAAAAAATTCGCAAAATTTCCTTAAAAATCCCCAAAAATTCCCCCAAAAAATTAAAAAAAAAATCCCCCAAAATTCCAAAAAAATTCCCTCCAATATTCCCAAAAAAATCCCAATAAAATCCCCAAAAAATCCAAAAAAAGCCCCAAAAAGTTCCTCAAAAATCCCCCAAATTCCTCCAAAAAATCCCCCAGAAAATCCCAATAAAATCCCCCAAAAATCCTAAAAAAAGCCCCAAAAATTCCCCAAAAATTCCGAATTTTTTCCTGAAATCCCCAAAAAATTCCCCCCTAAGAAATAGTTTTTAATTTTTTTTTAAATTTTTTTTTTTTAATGGAATTTTTTGGGGATTTTCAATGGAATTTTTAATTTTTTAAGAGAATTTTTGTGGAATTTTAATGGGATTTTTAATGGAATTTTTTTGGATTTTAATGGAATTTTTATGGAAATTTTTTTGATTTTTGTGGGATTTTTGATGGAATTTTTTTTGATTTTTAAATGGAAATTTTTTGGGGATTTTTAACAGAATTTTTTTTGGATTTTTAATGGAATTTTAATGCAATTTTTCATTGAATTTTTTATTTTTAATGGAATTTTTTGGGAATTTTAATGGAATTTTTAATTGAATTTTTTTAATTTTAATGGAATTTTAATGGAATTTTTGGGGAATTTTAATGGAATTTTTAAAGGAATTTTTTGGGATTTTTATGGAATTTTTTTGGAATTTTAATGGAATTTTTGGGGAATTTTAATGGAATTTTTTGGGATTTTGATGGAATTTTTATGGATTTTTGGGGGCTTTTAATGGAATTTTAACGGAATTTTTTGGGATTTTTAAATGGAATTTATTTGGGTTTTTTAAAAATTTTCTTTGGATTTTTAATGGAATTTTTTTTTATTTTTATGGAATTTTCATGGAATTTTTCATGGAATTTTTAAATTTTTAAATGGAATTTATGGGGAATTTTTATGGATTTTTTTTGAATTTTAATGGAATTTTAATGGAATTTTTTGGCATTTTAAATGGAATTTATTTGGGGTTTTTTAAAATTTTCTTTGGATTTTTAATGGAATTTTTTTGTTTTTTATGGAATTTTCATGGAATTTTTCATGGAATTTTTCATGGAATTTTTAAATTTTTAAATCGAATTTATGGGGAATTTTTATGGATTTTTTTTGAATTTTAATGGAATTTTAATGGAATTTTAATGGAATTTTTTGGCATTTTAAATGGAATTATTTTGTTTTTTTTTTTTAATTTTCTTTGGATTTTTAATGGAATTTTTTTTGATTTTTATGGATTTTTCATGGAATTTTTAATGCAATTTTTTTCTTTGTAATAGAATTTTTTTTATTTTTATGGAATTTTTAGAGGATTTTAATGGATTTTTTTTATTTTTTAATGGAATTTTTGATTTATTTTAATTGAATTTTTTGGTGATTTTTAATGGAATTTGGGGCGATTTTCATTGGATTTTTTGGGTTTTTTTTTGGGATTTTTAATGCAAATTTTTGGGATTTTTAATGGATTTTTTTTTTGATTTTTAATGGAATTTTTTTGGCTTTTTAATGGAATTTTTGGGGATTTTAATTAAATTTTTTAAGGAATTTTAGGGGATTTTTGGCAATTTTAAATTGAGTTTTTTGGCAATTTTTAAGGAATTTTTGGGGTATTTTTATGGAATTTTTGTGGTTTTAAATGAAATTTTCGGTGCTTTTTTTTTTGCTTTTTTTTTTTCTTGTTTATTGAATTTTTTGGGGGTTTTTTTCTGTTTTTTATTATATTTTGTATTTTTTTCCACCATTCCAAATCTTTATTGAAATTCCCGACAACACAAAAAAAATCCCGAATTTTTTGCTTTTCCGGATGATTTTTCCTTGGATTCTTCATCTTCCAATTCCTATAAAATAAAAAAAAAAAAGGGATTAAATCCCAAAAAATTCAATTTTTTTCCCACCAAAAATTCTAAATTTGTACCCCAAAATTTCCAATTTTTTCCCAAAAAATATCCAATTTTTCCCCCCAAAAATCCAATTTTTTCCCTTTAAAATTCCCAAATATTCCCCCGAAAATTCCCAATTTTTCCCTAAAAAATTCCCAAACATTCCCCCCAAAATTCCCAATTTTTTCCCTAAAAATATCCAATTTTCCATTTAAAATTCCCATTTTCCCCCTAAAAATTCCCATTTTTACCCCCAAAATTCCCAATTTTTTCCCCAAAAAATTCCCATTTTTACCTTTAAAATTCCCAAATTTCCCCTAAAAATCCCCATTTTTTCCTCAAAAATTCCTTTTTTCACTTTAAAATTTCCAATTTTTTACCTTTAAAATTCCCATTTTTACCTTTAAAATACCCATTTTTACCACAAAAATTCCCAATTTTTCCTTTAAAATACCCATTTTTTCACCCCAAAATTCCCGATTTTCCCTTCAAAATTCCCAACTTTTTCCCCCAAAAAAATCCAATTTCTCCCACCAAAAAATTCCCATTTTTTCCTTTAAAATTCCCAATATTTCCCCCCAAAAATTCCCAATTTTTCCTTTAAAAATCCCGATATTTCCCTTCCAAAAATCCCATTTTTTTTTCCTTTAAAATTCCCATTTTTTCCCTAAAAATCCCCATTTTTCCCCCCCCAAAAACTCCCAATTTTTTTACCCCAAAATTTCCAATTTTTCCTTTAAAATTCCCAAATTTTCTCCCCCAAAATTCCCAATTTTTCCTTTAAAATTCCCAAATTTTTCCCCCCAAAATTCCACTTTTTTCCCCAAAAAATTCCCACTTTACCCCGAAAATTTCCCAATTCTCCCAAAAATTCCAATTTCCCCCCAAAAAATCCAATTTTACCGCCAAAAAATTCCCATTTTTGGGTCAAAATCCCCATTTTTTGGGTCAAAATCCCCATTTTTTTATCCCCCCTCACGTTTTCCCGCCATTTTTTCCCCCTCACATTTTCCCTCCATTTTCCCCCCCTATGGATTCCCCCTCACGTTTTCCTCCATTTTCTCCCCCTATGGATTCCCCCTATAGATTCCCCCTCACGTTTCCCTCCATTTTTCCCCCTATGGATTCCCCCTCTTGTTTCCCTCCATTTTTCCCCCCTATGGATTCCCCCACACATTTCCCTCCATTTTTCCCCCCCTATGGATTCCCCCTCACGTTTCCCTCCATTTTCCCCCCTATGGATTCCCCCTATGGATTCCCCCTCACATTTCCCTCCATTTTTCCCCCCTATGGATTCCCCCTCACGTTTCCCTCCATTTTTCCCCCTATAGATTCCCCCTCACGTTTCCCTCCATTTTTCCCCCCTATGGATTCCGCCTCACGTTTCCCGCCATTTTTCCCCCCTATAGATTCCCCCTCACGTTTCCCTCTATTTTTCCCCCCTATGGATTCCCCCTATGGATTCCCCCTCACGTTTCCCTCCATTTTTCCCCCCTATGGATTCCCCCTCACGTTTCCCTCCATTTTCCCCCCCTATAGATTCCACCTCATGTTTCCCTCCATTTTTCCCCCCTCAATTCCCCCTATGGATTCCCCCTCACATTTTCCCCTATGGATTCCCCCTCATGATTTCCCCTCAGCAATATCTGCCATTTTCCCCCCCTCAATTCCCCCTCGTTCATCCCCCTCACGTTTCCCTCCATTTTTCCCCCTTCAATTCCCCCTATGGATTCCCCCTCACATTTCCCCTTCACTCCTCCCCCTCACGTTTCCCTCCATTTTCCCCCCCTCAATTCCCCCTCAGCAATTCCCCCTCACGTTTCCCGCCTTTTTTCCCCCATTTCCCCTATGGATTCCCCTTCACGTTTCCCGCCATTTCCCCCCCCCACTTTCTCCTATGGATTCCCCCTCACGTTTCTCCTTCACTCATCTCCCTCACGTTTCCCTCCATTTTTCCCCCCTCAATTCCCCCTATGGATTCCCCGTCACGTTTCCCTCCATTTTTCCCCCTTTCATTCTTCCCCCTCATGTTTCCCTCCATTTCTCCCCCCACAATTCCCCCTATAGATTCCTCCTATGGATTCCCCCTCAGCCCTTCCTGCCATTTTCCCCCCTCAATCATCCCCCTCAGCAATTCCCCCTCACTTTTCCCGCCATTTTCCCGCCCCCTTTTACCCCAATGGATTCCCTCTCACGTTTCCGTCCATTTTCCCCCTTCAATTATCCCCCTCAGCAATTTCCCCTCAGGTTTCCCCCTATAGATTCCCCCTATGGATTCCCCCTCAGCCCTTCCTGCCATTTTCCCCCCCTCAATCATCCCCCTCAGCAATTCCCCCTCACGTTTCCCGCCATTTTCCCCCGCTGTGGATTCCCCCTATGGATTCCCCCTCACGTTTCCCTCCATTTTTCCCCCCTATGGATTCCCCCTCACGTTTCCCTCCATATTTCCCCCCTATGGATTCCCCCTCACGTTTTCCTCCATTTTCCCCTCCTATGGATTCCCCCTCACGTTTCCCTCCATTTTCCCCCCTATGGACTCCCCCTCACGTTTCCCTCCATTTTTCCCCCCTATGGATTCCCCCTCACGTTTCCCTCCATTTTTCCCCCCTATGGATTCCCCCCCATTTTTCCCCCCTATAGATTCCCCCTCACGTTTCCCTCCATTTTTCCCCCCTATGGATTCCCCCTCACGTTTCCCTCCATTTTTCGCCCCTATAGATTCCCCCTCACGTTTCCCTCCATTTTTCCCCCCCTATGGTTTCCCCTATAGATTCCCCCTCACGTTTCCCTCCATTTTCCCCCCCTCAATCATCCCCCTCAGCAATTCCCTCTATGGATTCCCCCTCACGTTTCCCGCCATTTTCCCACCCCCGTTTCCCCCTATGGATTCCCCCTCACATTTCCCTCCATTTTTCCCCCCTTCAATCATCCCCCTCAGCAATTTCCTCTCAGGTTTCCCCTATGGATTCCCCCTATGGATTCCCCCTCAGCCCTTCCCGCCATTTTTCCCCCCTCAATTCCCCCTCGCTCATCCCCCTCACGTTTCCCGCCATTTTCCCACCCCCTGTTCCCCCTATGGATTCCCCCTCACATTTCCTCCTATGGATTCCCCCTCCCGTTTCCCTCCATTTTCCCCCCCTCAATCATCCCCCTCAGCAATTCCCCCTATGGGTTCCCCCTCACGTTTCCCTCCATTTTTCCCCCCTCAATTCCCCCTATGGATTCCCCCTCACGTTTCCCGCCATTTTTCACCCACTCAATCATCCCCCTCAGCAATTTCCCCTCACGTTTCCCCCTATGGATTCCCCCTCATGATTTCCCCTCAGCAATATCCGCCATTTTCCCCCCCTATGGATTCCCCCTCGTTCATCCCCCTCACGTTTCCCACCTTTTTTTCCCCCCTCAATTCCCCTTATGGATTCCCCCTCACGTTTGCCTCCATTTCCCCCCACTTATTCATCCCCCTCAGCAATTCCCCCTATGGATTCCCCCTCCCGTTTCCCTCCATTTTTCCCCCTTATGGATTCCCACTATAGATTCCCCCTCCCGTTTCCCTCCATTTTTCCCCCCTCATTCATCCCCCTCAGCAATTTCCCCTCAGGTTTCCCCCTATGGATTCCCCCTCAGCAATATCCGCCATTTTCCCCCCTTCAATCATCCCCCTCAGCAATTCCCCCTATGGATTCCCCCTCACGTTTCCCTCCATTTTCCCCTCATCATTCATCCCCCTCAGCAATTCCCCCTCACGTTTCCCTCCATTTTCCCCCCCTCAATCATCCCCCTCAGCAATTTCCCCTCAGGTTTCCCCCTATAGATTCCCCCTATGGATTCCCCCTCAGCCCTTTCCGCCATTTTCCCCCCCTCAATCATCCCCCTCAGCAATTCCCCCTCAGGTTTCCCCCTATGGATTCCCCATCACGATTCCCCCTCAGCAATATCCGCCATTTCCCCCCCTTCAATCATCCCCCTCAGCAATTCCCCCTCACATTTCCCTCCATTTTTCCCCTCTATGGATTCCCACTATGGATTTTCCCTCACGTTTCCCGCCATTTTTCACCCCTTATTCATCCCCCTCAGCAATTTCCCCTCAGGTTTCCCCCTATAGATACCCCCTATGGATTCCCCCTCAGCAATTTTAGCCACTTTTCCCCTTCAATCATCCCCCTCAGCAATTCCCCCTCACATTTGCCTCCATTTTCCCCTCATCATTCATCCCCCTCAGCAATTTCCCCTCAGGTTTCCCCCTATGGATTCCCCCTCCCCTTTCCCTCCATTTTCCCCCCCTCAATCATCCCCCTCAGCAATTCCCCCTCACGTTTCCGCCATTTTCCCACCCCCGTTTCCCCCTATGGATTCCCCCTCACATTTCCCCCTATGGATTCCCCCTCACGTTTCCCTCCATTTTTCCCCCTATGGATTCCCCCTCACGTTTCCCTCCATTTTTCCCCCCTATAGATTCCCCCTCACCTTTCCCTCCATTTTTCCCCCCTATGGATTCCCCCTCACGTTTCCCTCCATTTTTCCCCCCTATGGATTCCCCCTCACGTTTCCCTCCATTTTTCCCCCCTATGGATTCCCCCTCATGTTTCCCTCCATTTTTCCCCCCTATGGATTTCCACTCACGTTTCCCTCCATTTTTCCCCCCTATGGATTCCTCCTCACGTTTTCCCGCCATTTTTCCCCCCTATGGATTCCCCCTATGGATTCCCCCTCACGTTTCCCTCCATTTTCTCCCCCTATAGATTCCACCACACATTTCCCTCCATTTTTCCCCCCTATGGATTCCCCCTCACGTTTCCCTCCATTTTTCCCCCCTATAGATTCCCCCTCACGTTTCCCTCCATTCTTCCCCCTATGGATTCCCCCTCACGTTTCCCTCCATTTTCCCTCCCTCATTCATCCCCCTCACGTTTCCCCCTATGGATTTGCCCTATGGATTCCCCCTCCCATTTCCCTCCATTTTCCCCCCATCATTCATTCCGCTCAGCAATCCCCCCTCACGTTTCCCGCCATTTTCCCACCCCCTGTTCCCCCTATGGATTCCTCCTCACATTTCCTCCTATGGATTCCCCCTCCCGTTTCCCTCCATTTTACCCCCCTCAATCATCCCCCTCAGCAATTCCCCCTATGGATTCCAACTCACGTTTCCCTCCATTTCCCCCCCTCATTCATCCCCCTCAGGTTTCCCTCTATGGTTTCCCCCTATGGATTCCCCCTCACGTTTCCCGCCATTTTTTACCCCTCATTCATCTCCCTCAGCAATTCCCCCTATGGATTCCCCCTCACGTTTCCCCTTCACTCATCCCCCTTACGTTTCCCTCCATTTTCCCCTCATCATTCATCCCCCTCAGCAATTCCCCCTTACGTTTCCCGCCATTTTTCCCCCTCATTCATCCCCCTCAGAAATTCCCCCTATGGATTCCCCCTCACGTTTCCCTCCATTTTCCCCCCCTCATTCATCCCCCTCAGCAATTCCCCCTCATGTTTCCCGCCATCTTTCCACCCCTCGTTTCCCCCTATGGATTCCTCCTCACAATTCCCCCTATGGATTCCCCCTCACGTTTCCCTCCATTTTCCCCCCCTCATTCATCCCCCTCAGGTTTTCCCCTATGGATTCCTCCTATGGATTCCCCCTCAGCCCTTCCCGCCATTTCCCCCCCCTTCAATCATCCCCCTCAGCAATTCCCCCTCAGGTTTCCCCCTATGGATTCCCCCTCAGCAATATCCGCCATTTCCCCCCCTCAATACCCCCTATGGATTCCCCCTCACATTTCCCCTTCACTCATCCCCCTCACGTTTCCCTCCATTTCCCCCCCCTCATTCATCCCCCTCAGCAATTTCCCCTCAGGTTTCCCCCTATAGATTCCCCCTATGGATTCCCCCTCAGCCCTTCCCGCCATTTTCCCCCCCCCCCCCAGCAATTCCCCCTCACGATTCCCCCTCAGCCCTTCCCGCCATTTTCCCCCCTCACGCTTCCCCTTCCCCTTTCCCCTTCCACCATCGCTCTCCTTTCACCTTCCCCACCATTTTCCACCATCTTCCCCTTTCCTCTTCCTCCCTCACGCTTCTCTTCATCCTCTCCTCCCTCCCTTTCCGCCATTTCACTCCTCCCCTTCCCTTTCCTTTTCCCCTTTGCCCTCCGCCATCACCGCCCCGCCCCTTCACAAGGGGGGGGGGGCGAGGCGACAACACCGAAACGTCTCCCCAAAAAACGCCACCAAAACGCCTCCAAACCTCACCAAAAACCAAGAAGAAACCCAAATTAAATAGAAACAGCAAAAAAAAAAGCACTTAAAAATCGGATTTATTAAAGTTTTTCAAGCGATTATGGAGAAACCCGGCAGAACGGATTGCCCGGCGTTACCGCCCGGCTGGAAGAAGGAAGAAGTCATCCGAAAATCAGGTTTAAGCGCGGGGAAAAGCGATGTTTATTATTTTAGGTATTTATTTGGAAATCATTATTTATATTTTTAAGGATTTGTGGGCTTTTTTGGGGGGTTTTAGGTGGTTTTTAGGGGGTTTTTAAGGAGCGCGGCGCTGTCCGGAGATGGGAAAAGCGGCGGAGGGGGGGGGGGGGGGCGGGAGGTGATTCCGGGTCGGGTTTTTAAAGGGAATTTTCGGGGTTTTTTTGCTTAAAATTTGGATTTTTTAATCTAAAAGTCTCATTTTCTACCCCTAAATTATCATTTTGTCCCCTTAAGTTTTCGTTTTAGCCCCCAAATCCCCATTTATTCCCCCAAAATTTCCCATTTTAATCCTAAAAATTCGCATTTCCCCCTCTAAATTCGCATTTTCCCCCTCTAAAATCTCATTTTATCCCCCTAAATTCTCATTTTATCCCATAAGTTCTCGTTGTACCCCCCTATAGTCTCATTTTAACTCCAAAATTTCCATTTTTGACCTAAAATTAACATTTTACCCCCATAAAATTATCATTTTATCCCCCTAAATTCTCATTTTAACCCCGAAATTTCAATTTTTAACCTAAAAATCCCCATTTCCCCCCAAACTTTCAAATTTTCCCCCAAAATTTCCATTTATAACCTAAAATTCCCATTTTATCCCCTAAATTTCCCATTTCCCCCTAAAAATCCTCATTTTTAACCTAAAATCCTAATTTTTCCCCCCAAAACTTCTCACTTTTTACCAACAAAACTCATTTTCCCCTCCTAAATTTCCATTTCTTACCTAAAATTTCAATTTTCCCCAAAAATTATCCCCCAAAATTCTAATTTTTTACCTAAAATTCTCATTTTATCCCCCTAAAATTCCATTTTACCCCCTAAATTCTAATTTTTTACCTAAAAATCCTCATTTTCCCCTCTAAATTCCCCATTTTACCCACCTAAATACTAATTTTTTACCTAAAATTCCCATTTTAAATCTAAAATTCCCATTTATCTCCCTAAATTCCTGTTTTCCTCCCTAAATTCTAATTTTTTACCTAAAATCGTCATTTTTTACCTAAAATCCCCATATATTACCTAAAAATTCACATTCTTTACCTAAAATTCCCATTTTAACTGCAAAAATTCTCATTTATCCCCTAAAAATCTTCAATTTTTTTTCCTAAAAGTCCTCATTTTATCCCATAAAATTCCCATTTTTCCCTAAAATCCCCATTCCCCCCAAACTTTCGTTTTTTCCCTAAATTTCCATTTATTACCTAAAATTCCCATTTTAACCCCAAAAATTCTCATTTATCCCCTAAAATCCCCATTTTCCCTCTCTAAATTTTCATTTTTAATCTAAAATTCCTATTTTATCCCCCCAAATTCTCATTTTAAACCCCCAAATTCCTATTTCCCCCCTTAAATTCTCATTTTATCCCCTAAATTTTCATTTTCCCCCCTAAATTCTCTTTTTTTGGCTTCAAATCTTCATTTTTTATTAAAATCCTCATTTTATCTGCCTAAATTCTCATTTTTTGCCTACAAATCTTCATTTTTTACCTAAAATACCATTTTTTACCTAAAATTCCCATTTTCCCTGTAAATTCTCATTTTTTACCTAAAATTCCCATTTTATCTCCTAAATTTCCATTTTATCCCCTTAAATTATCATTTTGTACCTAAAACTCTAATTTTTCCCTAAAATTTCCATTTTATCCCCAAAATTTCCATTTTATCCCATTAAATTCTCATTTTGTACCTAAAACTCTCATTTTTCCCTAAAATTTCCATTTTATCCCCTAAAATTCCATTTATCCCCCTAAAATCCTCATTTCCCCCAAAAAAATTCCCAAAAAAATCACTAAAAATCCCCCAAAAATGCCGCAAAAACTCTCAAAAAATTTTTCTAAAAATCCTAAAAAAACTCAGTAAAAATTCCCATAAAAACCCGAAAAAAAGCACAAAAAATCCTCCAAAAATTCAATTTATTCCTCCAAAACCCCCCTTAAAATCGCCAAAAATTCACCTTTTTTTTTCATTTTTTCACCAAAAATCCCATTTTTTTTTGTTTTTTTCCCTTATTTCCCTCAATTAATCCCAATATTTTAATTTTTTAGCCCGAGTGGGAAGAAATTCCGCAGCAAACCGCAGCTGGCTCGGTATCTGGGGAACTCGGTGGACCTGAGCTCCTTTGATTTCCGCACGGGGAAGATGATGCCCAGCAAACTGCAGAAGAACAAACAGAAACTGCGCAACGACGCCCTCAACCCCAACAAGGTTTGGGCCAAAAATTCAAATTTTTTATTATTTATTTAATATTATTTTAGTCCTGATTTATTCCCAAATTTTTCCCTAATTTTCCCCAAATTTTCCCAATTTTTTCCCCATTTTTTTCCCATTTTTCTTCCATTTTTTTCTCATATTTTCCCCCAATTTTCCTCAATTTTGTCCTCATTTTTCTTCCATTTTTTCTCAATTTTTCTCCAATTTTTCCCACATTTTTTCCAATTTTTCTTCCATTTTTTTCTCAATTTTCCGCTAAATTTTTCCCACATTTATCCCAATTTCCCCCAATTTTTTCTCAATTTTTATCCCATTTTTATCCCAATTTTTCCCCATTTTTCTCAATTTTCCCCCAAATTTCCCCCAAATTTTCCCCAATTTTTCCCATTTTTATCCCAATTTTTTCCTCAATTTTTCTCCATTTTATCCCACTTTTATCCCAATTTTTCCCAATTTTTATCCAATTTTTATCCCAATTTTCCCCATTTTTATCCCAATTTTCCCCCAATTTTCCCCCCATTTTTTTCCCAAATTTTCCCATTTTCCCCCAGTTTTTATCCCATTAAAATCCAAATTTCCCCCCATTTTCCCCCAATTTCCCCCCATTTTTATCAGTTTTTCTTCCAACTTTCCTCCAATTCTTCCAAAATTTTCCCCAATTTTTTTCCAATTTTCCCCCAATTTTCCTCCATTTTTCCCTTTTTCCCATTTTTTCCCTTTTTCCCCCTCATGATTTTCCCACCTTTTTTTCCCCCTCAACCCCAACAAGGTTTGGTCAAAAATTCAAATTTTTTATTATTTATTTAATATTATTTTAGACCTGATTTATTCCCCAATTTTTTCCCATTTTTTTCCCATTTTTTCCCCATTTTCCTGCCATTTTTTTCTCAATTTTCCTCCAATTTTTTCCTCAATTTTTCTCCATTTTATCCCACTTTTATCCCAATTTTCCCAATTTTTTCTCAATTTTTATCCCATCTTTTCCCACATTTATCCCAATTTCCCCCTATTTTTTCCTCAATTTTTATCCCATTTTTATCCCAATTTTCCCTCAAATTTTCCCCAATTCTTCCCATTTTTATCCTAATTTTTCCCCAATTTTCCACCCATTTTTGTCCAATTTCCCCCCATTTTTTCCCCCAAATTTTCCCATTTTTCCCCCAATTTTTATCCCATTAAAATCCAAATTTCCCCCCCATTTTCCCCTAATTTTTTCCCAATTTCCCCCAATTGTTTCTCAATTCTCCTCAATTTTTCCCAATTTTTATTCCAATTTTTTCCTCAATTTTTTACCATTTTTTCCCACTTTTATCCCAATTTCTTCTCAATTTTTATCCCATTTTTATCCCAATTTTTCCCCATTTTTCTCAATTTTCCCCCAAATTTTCCCCATTTTTCCCCATTTTTATCCCAATTTTCTCCAATTTCCCCCCAATTTTCCTCAATTTTTTTCCCATTTTTATTCCAATTTTTCCTCAATTTTCCTCACATTTATCCCAATTTTTTCTCAATTTTTATTCCATTTTTATCCCAATTTTTCCCCATTTTTCTCAATTTCCACCAAATTTTCCCCAATTTTTCCCCGATTTTTCCCATTTTTACCCCAATATTCCCCCAGTTTTTCACCCATTTTTGTCCAATTTCCCCCCATTTTTTCCCCAAATTTTCCCATTTTTCCCCCAATTATTATCCCATTAAAATCCAATTTCCCCCCCATTTTTCCCCAATTTCCCCCCAATTTTTATCAATTTTTTTTCCAACTTTCCTCCAAGTCTTCCAAAATTTTCCCCAATTCTTCCAAAATTTTCCCCCAATTTTCCTCCATTTTTTTCCTTTTTTCCCATTGTTTTCCTTTTTCCCCTCATGATTTTCCCACCTTTTTTCCCCCCTCAACCCCAACAAGGTTTGGGCCAAAAATTCAAATTATTTGTGATTCTATTTAATCCTATTTTAGACCTATTTATTCCCCAATTTTTCTCAAATTTTCCCCAATTTTTCCCAATTTTTTCCCATTTTCCTTCCATTTTTTTCTCAATTTTCCCCCAATTTTTTCCCACTTTTATCCCAATTTTTCCCAATTTTTTCCTCAATTTTTATTCCATTTTTATCCCAATTTCCCCTCAATTTTCCCCAATTTTCCCCCACTTTTCCAATTCTTCCCATTTTTATCCCAATTTTTCCCAATTTTCCCCCAATTTTCCCCCAATTTTCCACCCATTTTTGTCCAATTTCCCCCCATTTTTTCCCAAATTTTCCCATTTCCCCCCCAGTTTTTATCCCATTAAAATCCAATTTTCCCCCCCATTTTCCCCCAATTTTCATCAATTTTTTTTCCAACTTTCCTCCAATTCTTCCAGAATTTCCCCCAATTTTCCCCCAATTTCGCCCCAAATTTTCCCGCAATTTTCCTCAATTTTTTCCTTTTTTTCCCATTTTTTCCCTTTTTCCCCCTCAATGACACCCTCAACCCCAACAAGGTTTGGTCCAAAAATTCAAATTATTTGTGATTTTATTTAATATTATTTTAGTCCTGATTTATTCCCAATTTTTCCCTAATTTTCCCCATTTTCTCCCATAATAATCTTATTTTTTAACCTTTTTTTGCCATTTTTTCCCCATATTTTGTCCGTTTTCCCCCAAATTTTCACCAAATTTCCCCCAATTTTTTCCCAATCTTTTTTCCCAATTTTCCCCAAATTTCCCCAAATTTTTCCTGATTTTTTGCCTTTTTTATTCCAATTTTTGCCATTTTTCCTAATTTTTTCCCCCATTTTTTCTTCATTTCCCCCCAAATTTTCTCCGATTCTCCCCCAATTTTCTCCCATTTTCTCCCATAATAATCTTATATTTAACCATTTTTTTGCAAAATTTTCCCCATTTTTCGTCCTTTTTTCCCCAAATTTTCACCAAATGATTCCAAATTTTTCCCCAATTTTCCCAATTTTCCCCCAATTTTCTCCCAGTTTTTCCCCAAATTTTCCCCAATTTTTTCCTGATTTTTTTTGCCATTTTTATTCCAATTTTTTGCCATTTTTCCTCATTTCTTCCCCATTCATTTTTTGTACATTTTTGCCCAAATTTCCCCCAATTTTCCCCCAATTTTCCCCCATTTTCTCTCATAATATTCTTATTTTTAACTGGTTTTTTGCCTTTTTCCCCCAAATTTTCACCAAATTATCCCAATTTTTTCCCAAATTATCCCCAAATTTCCCCCAAATTTTCCCCCATTTTTTCCTGATTTTATGCCACTTTTATTCCAATTTTTTGCCATTTTTCTTCATTTCTTCCCCATTTTTTCTCCGTTTTCCCCATTTTTCCTCCAATTTTTTTCCCCATTTTTCCCACATTTTCTCCCATAATAATCTTATTTTTTAACTGTTTTTTTCCCATTTTTTCCCCATTTTTTATCCGTTTTCCCCCAAATATTCACCAAATGATCCCAACTTTTTTTCCCCATTTTTTCTCCGTTTTCCCCATTTTTCCTCCAATTTTTTTCCCCAAAATTTCCCCCATTTTCTCCCATAACAATCTTATATTTTAACCTTTTTTTTCCTTTTTTCCCTCATTTTTTCTCCATTTTCCCCCAAATTTTCACCAAATTTCCCCCAATTTTCCCCAAATTTTCCCCCATTTTTTCCTGATTTTTTGCTTTTTATTCCAATTTTTTGCCATTTTTCCTCATTTTCTCCCCATTTTTTCTTCATTTCCGCCCAAATTTTCTCCAATTCTCCCCCAATTTTCTCCCATTTTCTGCCATAATAATCCTATTTTTTAACCGTTTTATTGCGGTTTTTCCCCATTTTTTCTCTGTTTTCCCCAAATTTTCACCAAATTTCCCCCAGTTTTTTTCCCAATTTTCCCCAACTTTTTCCCCAATTTTTTTCCCCATTTTCTCCCATAATAATCTTATTTTTTTAACCGTTTTTTTGCCATTTTTCCCCATTTTTTGTCCGTTTTCCCCCAGATTTTCACCAAATTACCCCCAATTTTTTCCCCAATTATTCCCAATTTTCTTCCAATTTTCTCCCATTTTCTCCCATAATAATCTTATTTTTAACCGTTTTTTTGCCTTTTTTCTTGAATTTTTTTTGTCCTTGTTTCCCAAAATTTTCACCAAATTTCCCCCATTTTTTTTTCCCAATTTTCCCCAAATTTCCCCCAATTTTCCCCCATTTTCTCCCATAATAATCTTATTTTTTAACCGTTTTTTGCCTTTTTTCCCCATTTTTTGTCCGTTTTCCCCCAAATTTTCACCAAATTTCCCCAATTTTTTTCCAGTTTACCCCCTAATTTTCCCCCATTTTTTCCTAATTTTTGCCATTTTTATTCCAATTTTTTCCATTTTTCCTCATTTCTTCCCCATTTTTCCTCCGTTTTTGCCCAAATTTTGTCCAAATTTCCCCCAATTTTTCCCCATTTTCCCCCCATTTTCTCCCATAATAATCTTATTTTCTAACTGTTTTTTTGCCTTTTTTCCCCCATTTTTTGTCCGTTTTTCCCCAAATTTTCACCAAATTTTTCCCAATTTTTTTCCTAATTTTTCCCAATTTCCCCCCATTTTTTCCCCAATTTGCTCCCATAATAATCTTATTTTTTAACCATTTTTTTGCCATTTTCCCCCCATTTTTGGTCCATTTCCCCCTAAATTTTCACCAAATTGTCCCAATTTTTTCCCAATTTTTCCCACATTATTCTCCAAATTTCCCCATTTTTTCCTGTTTTTTTGCCATTTTTATTCCAATTTTTTGCCATTTTTTCCTCATTTCTTCCCCATTTTTTGCCATTTTCCCCAAATTTCCCCCCAATTTTTCCCCCATTTTCTCCCATAATAATCTTATTTTTTAACCGTTTTTTGCCTTCTTTCCCTTATTTTTTGTCCGTTTTCCCCCAAATTTTCACCAAAATTTCCCCAATTTTTTCCCAAATTTCTCCAATTTTTCCTACATTTTCTCCCATAATAATCTTATTTTTTAACCTTTTTTTCCTTTCTTCCCTCATTTTTTATCCGTTTTTCCCAAAATTTTCCCCAAATTTCCCCCAATTTTTCCCCAATTATTCCCAATTTCCCCCAAATTTTCCCCCATTTTTTCCTGATTTTTTGCCATTTTTATTCCAATTTTTTGCCATTTTTCCTCATTTCTTCCCCATTCATTTTTTGTCCATTTTTGCCCAAATTTCCCCCAATTTTCCCCCAATTTTCCCCCATTTTCTCTCATAATATTCTTATTTTTAACTGGTTCTTTGCCTTTTCCCCCCATTTTTTTCTGTTTTCCCCCAAATTTTCACCAAATTATCCCAAATTTTTCCCAAATTTTCCCCAGTTTCCCCCATTTTTTCCCCCAATTTTCCCCCATTGTCTCCCATAATAATCTTATTTTTTAACCGTTTTTTTGCCTTTTTTCTCTCATTTTTTGTCCATTTTACCCCAAATTTTCACCAAAATTCCCCCATTTTTTCCCCAATTATTCCCAATTTTCGCCCATTTTCTCCCATAATAATCTTATTTTTAAACTGGTTTTTGCCATTTTTTCCCCGTTTTTTGTCTGTTTTTCCCCAAATTTTCACCAAATGATCCCAATTTTTTTCCCAATTTTCCCTAAATTTTCCCCAATTTTCTCCCTTAATAATCTTTTTTTTAAACCCTTTTTTTGCCATTTTTTCCCCATTTTTTCTCCATTTTCCACCAAATTTTTAGCAGAATTTTCCCAAATTTTTCCCAATTTCCCCCCATTTTCTTCTATAATAATCTTATTTTTTAACTGTTTTTTTGCCTTTTTTCCCCATTTTTTGTCCGTTTTTCCCCAAATTTTCTCCAAATTTTCCCCAATTTTTTTTCCTGTTTTTTTGCCATTTTTATTCCAATTTTTTGCCATTTTTCCTCATTTCTTCCCCATTTTTACTCCGTTTTCCCCCAAATTTTCACCAAATTATCCCAAAATTTCCCCAATTTTTTCTCTAATTTCCCTCGATTTTGTCCCATAATAATCCTATTTTTTAACTGTTTTTTGCCATTTTTTCCCCATTTTTTGTCCGTTTTTCCCCCAAATTTTCACCAAATGATCCCAAATTTTTTTTCCCAAATTTCCCCAATTTTCCCCAAATTCTTCCCATTTTCTCCCATAATAATCTTATTTTTTAACCATTTTTTTGCCATTTTTCCCCATTTATTTGTCCGTTTTCCCCCAAATTATCACCAAATTTCCCCCAATTTTTTCCCAAATTTTCCCCAATTTTCCCCAAATTTTGCCCCATTTTCTCCCATAATAATCTTATTTTTAACACTTTATTGCCATTTTTCCCCCATTTTTCTCAGTTTTCTCCCAAATTTTCACCAAAATTTCCCCCAATTTTTCCCCAAATTATCCCAAATTTTCCCCCATTTCCCCCCCAATTTTCCCCAGTTTTCTCCCATAATAATCTTATTTTTTATCTGTTTTTTTTCCCATTTTTCTCCCATTTTTTGTCCGTTTTCCCCCAAATTTTCAACAAATTATCCCAAAATTTTTCCCATTTTTCTCCAAATTTCCCCCAATTTTTCCCCCATTTCCCCCCATTTTCTCCCATAATAATCTTATTTTTTAACTGTTTTTTCCCATTTTTTCCCCATTTTTTATCCGTTTTTTCCCCAAATTTTCACCATGTGATCCCAAATTTTTTTCCCAAAATTTCCCCATTTTTTCCTGATTTTTTGCCATTTTTATTCCAATTTTACCGTTTTTCCTCATTTCTTCCCTATTTTTTTTCTCCGTTTTCCCCAAATTTTCCCAAATTTTTTCCCAATTTTCCCCCAATTTCCCCCAAATTTTCCCCCATTTTTCCTGATTTTTTACCATTTTTATTCCAATTATTTTCCATTTTTCCTCATTTCTTCCCCATTTTTCCCCATTTTCCCCCATTTTTCCCCCCATTTTCACCCATAATAATCTTATTTTTTAACCGTTTTTATGCTGTTTTTTCCCCATTTTTTGTCCGTTTTCCCCCAAATTTTCACCAAATTATCCCAAATTTTTTCCCCAATTTTCCCCCATTTTCCCCAATTTTCTCCCATAATAATCTTATTTTTTAACCATTTTTTGCCTTTTTTCCCTCATTTTTTTGTCCGTTTTCCGCCAAATTTTCACCAAATTATCCCAAATTTTTTTCCCAATTTTCCCCAAATGTTCCCCAATTTTCCCCAATTTTTCCTGATTTTTTGCCATTTTTATTCCAATTTTTTGCCATTTTCCCTCATTTTTTCCCCATTTTTTCTTCTTTTTTCCCCCAAATTTCCCCAGAATTTCCCCCAATTTTCCTACATTTTCTCCCATAATAATCTTATTTTTTTAACAGTTTTTTTGCCATTTTCCCCATTTTTTGTCCATTTTTCCCCAAATTTTCACCAAAATTTCCCCAATTTTTCCCCCAATTTTCCCCAATTTTTCCCCCCATTTTTTCCCTATTTTCCCCAATTTTCTCCCATAATAATCTTATTTTTAATTGTTTTTTTGCCAATTCTTCCCCCATTTTTTTTCCCAATTTTCCCCCAATTTTTCCCCAAATTTTCTCAATTTCCCCCAAATTTTACCCCATTTTTTTCCTGATTTTTTGCCATTTTTATTCCAATTTTTTGCCATTTTTCCTCATTTCTTCCCCATTTTTTCTCCGTTTTTCCCCAAATTTCATCAAATTTCCCCCAATTTTTTTTCTTAATTTTCCCCAATATTTCCCCATTTTCCCCCATTTTCTCCCATAATAATCTTATTTTTTAACTTTTTTTTGCCATTTTTTTCCCCATTTTTTGTCCGTTTTTCCTCAAATTTTCGCCAAATTATCCCAATTTTTTTTCCCAATTATTCCCAATTTTCCCCCCAATTTTCCCCCATTTTTCCTAATTTTTTGCAATTTTTATTCCAATTTTTTTCCATTTTTCCTCATTTCTTCCCCCTTTTTTCCCCGTTTTCCCCCAAATTTTCTCAAATTTTTCCCCCCAATTTTTCCCCCAATTTTTCCCCCATTTTCTCCCATAATAATCTTATTTTTTACCCGTTTTTTTGCCATTTTTCCCCCATTTTTTATCCGTTTTTCCTCAAATTTTCACCAAATGATCCCAAATTTTTTTCCCAATTTGCCCTCAATTTCCCCCCATTTTTTCCTATATAATCTTATTTTTTAACTGTTTTTTTTCCCATTTTCCCCACTTTTTCTCTGTTTTCCCCCAATTTTCCCTGAAATTTTCCCCAAATTTTCCTGATTTTTTGCCATTTTTATTCCAATTTTTTGCCATTTTTCCCCATTTCTTCTCCATTTTTTCTCCATTTCCCCCCAAATTTCTCCAAATTTTCCACCATTTTCTCCCATAATAATCTTATTTTTTAACTGTTTTTTACCATTTTTCCCCATTTCTTCCCCATTTTTTCTCCGTTTTCCCCCAAATTTTCTCCAAATTTCCCCTATTTTCTCCCATAATAATCTTATTTTTTAACCATTTTTTTGCCATTCTTTCCCCATTTTTTGTCTGTTTTTCCCCAAATTTTCACCAAAATTTCCCCAATTTTTTCCCAATTTTCCCCAATTTCCCCCAATTTTTCCCCCATTTTCTCCCATATTAATCTTATTTTTTAACCGTTTTTTTGCCATTTTTCCCTCATTTTTCATCCGTTTTTCCCCAAATTTTCACCAAATGATCCCAAATTTTTTTCCCTATTTTTTCCCCAATTATTCCCGATTTTTCGGTAACTTTTCCCGATATTTTTCCTGCAGGGCAAGCCGGACCTGAACACGACCCTGCCCATCCGGCAGACCGCGTCCATTTTCAAGCAGCCGGTGACCAAAATCACCAACCACCCCGGGAACAAAGTCCGGAGCGACCCGCAGCGACTGAGCGAGCAGCCGCGGCAGGTCAGGGGTTAAACCGTCCCAAATTTGGGGGGAAAAATATTCCCAAATATTGGGGAAAAAATTCCCAAAATTTGGGGGAAAATTGGGGATAATTTGGGGAAAAATGGGCGAAAAACGGGTAAAAAATGGGCAAAAAATTCGATTTTTTGAAGGAAAAATTGGGGAAAAATGAAGAAAAAATGAGAATAAAATGGGGGAAAATTGAGGGAAAATTTGGGAAAAAATGGGGAAAATTTGGGCAATAAATGAGGAAAAATTGGGGAAAATTTGGGGGAAAAAATGGGGAAAATGGGGGGAAATTGGGAAAAAATTGGGGAAAAAGGGGGAAAAATTGGGGGGAAAAAGGGGAAAAATTGGAAAAATTATGGGAATTAATGAGAAAAAATGGGGGAAAAATGGGAGAAATTGGAAAAAAATAGGGGGAAAACTGGGAAAAATTAGGGAAAATTTGGGGGAAAATGGGAAAAAAACAGAAAAATCGGGGAAAAATTGGGGAAAAAATAGGAGAAAAATTGGGAAAAATTTGGGAGAAAAACTGGGGGAAAAATAGGAGAAATTGGAAAAAGAATTCGAGAAGAAAAGGAGAAAAATTGGGAAAAATTTGGGAGAAATTGGAAAAAAAATGGGGGAGAAGAAGCAGAAAAATTGGGCAAAATGGGAGAAAAAATGGGAGAAAAAATGGGAGAAATTGGAAAAAAATTAAGGAAAAAACTGAGAAAAATTGGGAAAAATATGGGAAAAAATTGGGGAAGAAATGGGAGAAAAATTGGGGAGAAAATGGAGAAAAATTGGGGAAAATTTGGGGAAAATGGGAAAAAAATTGAGAAAAATTGGGGAAAAATTGGAAAAATGGGGAAAAATTGGGGAAAAAATGGGGAAAAATTGAGAAAAAAGGGAGAACTAAGAAAAAAAATAGGGGAAAAATTGGGAAAGTTTGTGGAAAAAATTCGGGAAATATTTGGGGAAAAAAATTGGGGTAAAATGGGACAAGTTTGGGCAAAGTGAGGAATGAGGCGGGAATAAAGTCAGGAGTGACCCGCAGAGACTGAGCGAGCAGCACCGGCAGGGAAGGGGTTAAACTGTCCCGAAATTTGGGGGGAAACATTCCCAAATATTGGGGGAAAATTGGGAAAAATTTGGGAAAAAATTGGGGGAAAATTGGGTGAAAAATGAAGAAAAAGTGAGAATAAAAGGGGGGGAAAATAGGGGGGAAATTGGGAAAAATTGGAGGAAAATTGGGGAAAATGGGAGGAAAAAAGAGAAATAATGGGGGAAAATTTGGGGGAAATTGGGAAAATTTGGGGAATAAATGAGGAAAAATTGGAAAAAATTGGGGGAAAAGAAAAAAAATGGGGGAAAATTGGGTAAAAAAGGAGAAAATTGGGGAAAAAATAGGGAAAATTGGAAAAAATTTGGGGAAAAATTGCAGAAAAAATTGGGGGGAAAAAAGGAGAAAAATTGGGGAAAATTGGGGAAAAAATGAGGAAAAATTGGAGAAAACTGGGAAATAACTGGGGGGAAAAAAGGAGAAAAATTGGGCGAAAATTGGAAAAAAATTGGGGGACACAGGACAAAAAATGGACAAAATTGGGGTAAAATTGGAAAAAAATGGGAGAAATTGGGAAAAAATTGGGGAAAAAAAGGAGAAAAATTTGGGAAAAAATGGGAAAAATTGGGCGGAAAATGAGCAAAAAATTTGATTCTTTGAGGGAAAAAATTGGGAATAATTCGCAAAAAAAATGGGAAAAATTGGGAAAATTTGGGAAAAATTGGGGGAAAAAAGGAGAAAAATTGGGGAAAAATTGGGAAAAAATCGGGAAAAAAAAGGAGACAAATTGGGAGAAAATTGTAAAAAATTGGGGAAAAATTGGGGGAAAATTGGGAAAAATTTGGGAAAAATTGGGAAAAACTGAGAAAATTCGATTTTTGGAGGGGAAAAAATGGGGAAAAATTCGGGAAAAAATGGGAAAATTTGGGAAAAATTTGGGGAAAAATGGGGAAAATTTGTGGAAAGAATTTGGGAAATATTGGGAAAAATGTGGGGTAAAATTTGGGGTAAAATGGGGCAAGTTTGGGCAAAGTGAGGAATGAGGCGGGAATAGAGTCAGGAGTGACCCGCAGAGACTGAGCGAGAGCACCGGCACGGAAGGGGTTAAACTGACCTGAAATTTGGGGGGAAATTCCCAAATTTTTGGGGAAAATTCCCAAAGTTTGGGGGAAAATTTGGGGGAAAATTGGGGAAAAAATTGGGGGAAAAATTGGGGGAAAAATGGGGAAAAAAATGGGCAAAAAATTCGATTTTTTGAAGGAAAAGTTGGGTGAAAAATGAAGAAAAAATGAGACTAAAATGGGGAAAGAATTGGGGGAAAATTGGGAAAATTTGGAAAAAATTGAGGAAAATTTGGGAAAAATGGGGAAAAAATTGGGGAAAAATTGAGGGAATATTGGAGAAAAATTGGGAAAAAGTTGGGGAATAAATGAGGAAAAATTGGGGGAAAATTGGGGAAAAAATATGGGAAAATTTGGGAAAATGGGGGAAAATTGGGCGAAAAGGGGGAAAAATTGGGGAAAAAAGTGGAGAAAAATTTGGGGAAAAAATGAGAGGAAATTGGGAAAAAATCGGGGAAAATTTGGGAAAATGGATGAAAATGGAGGAAAATTGGGAAAAAAATAGGAGAAAAATTGGGGAAAATATGGGAGAAAAACTGGGGAAAAAATGGGGGGAAAATGGGGGAAAATTTGGGGAAAATGGGGAAAAAAAGGAGAAAAATTGGGAAAAAATTGGGAAAAATTAGGAAAAAAATGGGAAAAAAATTGGAGAAGAAAGGAGAAAATTGGGAAAAATCTGGGAAAAACTGGGGAAAAAATGGAAAAAATTGGGGAAAATTAGGAAAAAAAAGGGAAATAAGAAAAAAAATAGGGGGAAAATTGGGAAAATTTGGGGCGAAAAAAGGGGGAAAAATTGGAAAAATTTGGGAAATAAATGAGGAAAAATTTCGGGGAAAATTGGAAAAAATTGGGGAAAATGGGAGAAAAATTGGGGGAAAATTTGGGGGAAAAATTGGGAAAAATGGGAGTAATTGGGAAAGAATTGGGGAAAAAAGGAGAAAAATTGGGAAAAATTTCAGAAAAAATGGGGGAAAAATGAGCAAAAAATTCGATTTTTTGAGGGGAAAAAATGGGGAAAAATTTGGAAAAAATGGGAAAAATTTGAAAAATTTTGGAAAAATTGGGAAATAATTGGGGAAAAATCAGGAAAAAATTGAGGAAAAATTGGGGAAAAATTGGGAAGAAATTGAGGAAAAACTGGGGAAAAATCAGGAAAAAATTAAGAAATACGGGAAAAAAATCAGAAAAAAATTAGAAAAAATAGGAGAAAAATCGGGAAAAATTGGGAAAAGTTTTGGGGGAAAATGGGGAAAGATTGGTTAAAAAATAAGATTATTATGGGAGAAAATGGGGGAAAGTTGGGGAAAAATTCGGGGAAAAAAAGGAAAAAATCAGGATAAATTTGGGGTAAAAATTGGGAAGAAATTGAGGAAAAATTTGGGAAAAATTAGAAAAAAAATAAGGAAAAATTGGGGAAAAATCAGGAAAAAAATTGAGAAAAAATGGGGAAAAATTGGTTAAGAAATAAGATTATTATAGGAGAAAATGGGGAAAAAATCAGGATAAATTTGGAGAAAAATCAGGAAAAATTTGGGGAAAAATTGGAAAAAATTTAGGAAAAATTGGGGGAAAATCAGGAAAACATTGGGAAAAATTGGAAAATAAATGGGGAAAAATTACGAAGAAAATTAGGAAAAATAGGGGAAAATTTGGTAAAAATTAAGAACAAATTAGGAAAAATTAGGGAAAAATTGGGTAAAAATGGAGGAAAAATGAGTAATATCGGCGGAAATTTTAGGGGAAATTTGAGAAAAATTGGGGGAAAAATGGGGAAAAATTGGAAAATAAAGGGGGAAAAAATGAGGGAAAATTGGGAAGAAATTGAGGAAAAATTGGGGAAAAATCAGGAAAAAATTCGGGAAAATTGGGAAATAATTGGGGAAAAATTAGGAAAAAATCAGGAAAAATAGGGGAAAAATGGGATAAAAATATGGAAAAATCTGGGAAAAATTAAGAAAAAATTAGGAAAAATTAGGGGAAAGTTGGGGGAAAATGGAGGAAAATAGGAGAAAAAATGGGGAAAATTTGGGGAAAAATGGGGCAAATTGGTTAAACATAAGATTATTATGGGGGAAAATGAGGAAAAAATTGGGAAAAATTTGGGTAAAATGGGGAAAAATTGGGAAAAAATTGGGGGAAAACTGGTAAAAAAATTGGGGAAAAATGAGGAAAAATTGGGGAAAAATTTGGGAAAATTTGGGAAAACATTGGGGGAAAATTGGAAAAAAATTGTGGGAAAAGGGGAAAAATTAGGGGGGAAAAGGAGAAAATGGGGAAAAATTGGAAAAAATGGGGAATAAGGGAAAAAATTGGTAAAAATTTGGGGAGTAAATGAGGAAAATTTGGGGAAAAATTTGGGGGAAAATTGGGAAAAAAAGGGGGAAAATCAAGATAAATTTGGGGAAAAATTGGGAAAATTGGGAAGAATTTGGGAAAAAATTGGGGAAAATTGGGAAATAATTGGGGAAAAATTGGGAAATAATTGGGGGAAAATCAGGAAAAAATTAAGAATAAATGGGGAAAAATCAGAGAAAAATCGGGAAAAATTAGGGGAAAATCTGGGGAAAAATTTGGGGAAAAATTTGGATTTTTTTGGGTAAAAAATGTGTATTTTTTTTGCAGCTTTTTTGGGAGAAGCGGCTGCAGGGTCTGAGCGCTTCGGATGTGAGCGAAGAAATCATCAAATGCATGGAACTGCCCAAAGGGCTGCAAGGTGGGGAAAAATGGGGTAAAAACAGCAGAAATTGGGCAAAAATAATAAAGTGGGGAAAAATCGGGGAGAAATTCGGTGAAAATTTGGTGAAAATCGGACAAAAATTGGCTGAAAAATGAAGAAAAAACGGGTGAAAAAACCGATTTTTTTGGTGGAAAAATTGGAGTTTTTGGCAAAAAATTGAATTTTTGGCATTAAAAAATTGAATTTTTTGGTGAAAAATGCAAAATTTTTTTGGGTAAAAAATGGTAGTTTCGGGGAAAAAATCCAATTTTTTTTAGCAAAAAAATTTGGATTTTTTTTTTGTAAGAAAAGGGGAATTTTTGGTTAAAAATATCAATTTTTTTGGCAAAAATAATCTAGTTTTGCATCAAAAAAAGTGTCATTTTTTGACTAAAAAATTGAATTTTAATTGTAAAAAATTGGATTTTTGGACAAAAAATTGCAATTTTTTTGGAAAAAAATTCTAATTTTTTTGGGTTAAAAATTTGATTATTTGGCTGCAAAAATCGAACTTTTTGGGCAAAAAAAAAATCAAAATTTTTAATAAAAGATTGATTTTTTTGACAAAAAACCCCAAATTTTATGGTGAAGAATCAAAGTTCTTGGGGTTAAAAAATGGATTTTTGTGGCCACAAGAAATAGAACTTTTTGGCAAAAAAATCTAATTTTGTGACCGAAAAAATGTATTTTTTTGGCAAAAAAATTGGAATTTTTTGGTGAAAAAATGGAATTTTTGGCGTTAAAATTGTGAACTTTTTATTAAAAAAATTGAATTTTTTGGTGAAAAATGCGAATTTTTTGGGGGTAAAAAATGGGAATTTTTGATAAAAAATTGGGAATTTTTTCGGAGGAAGAAAGTGGAACTTTCAGCCAAAAAAATTGATTTTTTCAGGCGGAAAAATTCAATTTTTTCGGCAAAAAAAATCCATTTTTTGCCCAAAAAACGCCATTTTTTTGCGGTAAAAAATGCGATTTTCACCGGGTAAAAAATGGTAATTTTGGGAAATTTGGGAATTTGATATATTTGGGTTATTTTTTCCAGGAGTGGGTCCCGGTGCAGCGGCTCCGTTCCAAACGCTGCCATTGGCTCCGGAAAAAATGCAAATTTGGGTGGGAAAATTGGGAATTTTTTGGGGTAAAAAATGGGAATTTTTGGGGAAAAAATGGGAATTTTTGGGGCAAAAAATGAGAATTTTTGGGGCAAAAAATGAGAATTTTTGGGAAAAAGTCTTAATTTTTTTTGCAAAAAATTTGGATTTTTTTTTAAATTATGGGGAATATTTGGTTAAAAAAATCACTTTTTTTGGCAAAAATAATCAAATTTTTAATCAAAAATAGTGGTTTTTTTGACAAAAAATTGAATTTTTATGGCAAAAAATCGAATATTTTGACAAAAATATTGGAACTTTTTTGGAAAAAAATTCATTTTTTTTTGGTTAAAAAATCGATTTTTTGAGCACAAAAATCGAACCTTTTGGGCAAAAAAATCGGATTTTTAATGAAAAATATTGATTTTTTTTGACAAAATAATAGACTTTTTCGGCAAAAAAATCAAATTTTTGAGAGTTAAAAAATGGATTTTTGTGGCGAGAAAAAATGGAACTTTTTGACCAAAGAACCCCAATTTTTTGGCGAAAAAATTGGAATTTTTGGTAATAAAAATGTGATTTTTCAGAAAGAAAATTGAATTTTTTTGGTGAAAAATGCGAAAATTTTGGGGTAAAAAATGGGAATTTTTGCTAAAAAATTGGGAATTTTTTGGGAGGAAGAAAGTGGAATTTTTGGCCAAAGAAAAAAGACTGTTTCGTCCGAAAAATTCAATTTTTTCGGCAAAAAAATTCGATTTTCGACCTAAAAAAAGCCATTTTTTCGCGGTAAAAAAAGCGATTTTCACCCGGTAAAAAACGACAATTTTGGGAATTACTAAATTTACTAAAATTTTATTATTCTTTTCAGGAGTGGGTCCCGGGGCCAGCGGCTCCGTTCCAAACGCTGCCATTGGCTCCGGAAAAATGCAAATTTGGGTGGGAAAAATGCAAATTTTTTGGGGGTAAAAAATGGAAATTTTTGATAGAAAAAGTGGGAATTTTTGGGGCAAAAAGTGAGAATTTCGGGAAAAATCCTAATTATGTAGCAAAAAAATTTGAGGTTTTTTTTCAAAAAAAGGGAATTTTTGGTTAAAAATCTCAATTTTTTTGGCAAAAATAATGAAATCATTAATCTAAAAAAGTGTCATTTTCTGACAAAAAATTGAATTTTTAAGGCAAAAAAGCAAATTTTTGGGGGTTAAAAAATGGATTTTTGTGGCCACAAAAAATTGACCTTTTTGACCAAAAAAAATCCAATTTTTTACCGAAAATCCCGAATTTTTTGGTGAAAAATGGGAATTTTTTGGGGCAAAAAAATGGAATTTTTTTGACAAAAAAAGGGAATTTTTGGAAAAAAAATCGAATTTTTGGGTTAAAAATGGATTTTTTGGCCATAAAAAAATCGAACTTTTTGACCAAAAAAAATCGTATTTCTTTGCGAGAAAATGAAATTTTTTGCGTTAAAAATGTGATTTTTTAGAAAAAAAAATGAATTTTTGATAAAAAATTGGGATTTTTTTCAGAGAAAGCAAGTGGAATTTTTGGATAAAAAAAAGATTTTTTTGATGGAAAAATTCAATTTTTTTGGCGAAAAAATTCCATTTTTTGCCTAAAAAACGCCATTTTTTTGCCGAAAAAAATGCAATTTTTATCCGGAAAAAAATGGCAATTTTGGTAATTACTAAATTTACTAAAATTTTATTATTTTTCCCAGGAGTGGGTCCCGGTGGCATCGGCTCCGTTCCAGACGCTGCCATTGGCTCCGGAAAAATGCAAATTTTTGGCGGGAAAAATGGGAATTTTTTTGGGGTAAAAAATGGGAATTTTGGGGTAAAACCCCTAAATTTTTAGCAAAAATATTTGGATTTTTTTTTTGCTAGAAATGGGGAATTTTTGGTTAAAAAAAATCAATATTTGGCAAAAATAATCAAATTTTTAATTTAAAAAAACGCATTTTTGATTAAAATTTGAATTTTTAAGGGGAAAAATCGAATTTTTGGACAAAACAATTGGATTTTTTTGGGGAAAAAAAATTCTATTTTTGGGGTTAAAAAATCGATTTTCTGGGCACAAAAATCGAACTTTTTGGGCAAAAAAATCGAATTTTTTGCCAAAAAAATCGAATTTTTTGGCAAAAAATCGAATTTTTTGGCAAAAATAATCAAATGTTTGGGGTTAAAAAATGCATTTTTGTGGCCACAAAAAATCCAGTTTTCTGGCAAAAAAATTGGAACTTTTTGACAAAAAAACCCGAATTTTTTGGCAAAAAAAATGGGAATTTTTTTGGCGAAAAAATGGAATTTTTTGGTGAAAAATGGGAATTTTTTGGGGTAAAAAATGGGGATTTTGGGAAAAATTCCTTTTTCTTTTGAAAAAACAGGGGAATTTTTGGCAAAAAAAATTGATTTTTTCGGCCAGAAAAATTCGATTTTTCGTCGAAAAAATTCCATTTTTTGCCCAAAAACCGCCATTTTTTCGCGGAAAAAAATGCGATTTTTATCCGGTAAAAAATGACAATTTTGGCAATTACTAAATTTACTAAAATTTGATTATTTTTCGCAGGAGTGGGTCCCGGGGCCAGCACGGAGTCGCTGCTGTCGGCCGTGGCCAGCGCCCTGCACAGCGGCGCCGCGCCCATCACCGGCCAGAACTCGGCCGCCGTGGAGAAGAACCCGGGGATTTGGTTAAACACGGCGCAGCCGCTGTGCCGCGCCTTCCTCGTCACCGACGACGACATTCGGTGAGTACAAAATCGCTTTTTTTTCACCCAAAAATTCTGTTTTTTACACCAAAAAATTCATATTTTTTACACCCAAAAAATCGATTTTTTTTGCCAAAAAATTCGATTTTTTTTGCCAAAAAATTCGATTTTTTTTTCGTCAAAAAATTCTGGTTTTTTTGTCAAAAAAAATCGATTTTTTGTCAAAAAATACTTTTTTTTCACCAAAAAATTCAGTTTTTTCGGTCAGAAAATTCGGTTTTTTGCCTAAAAAATTAGATTTTTTAGTCAAAAACTAACGTTTTTTATACCCAAAAATTACCCTTTTTCGCCAAAAATTTTGATTTATTTGCCTAAAAAATTGATTTTTTCCCTAAAAAATTCAACTCTTTTAGACAAAAATTACCATTTTTTACACCCAAAATTACCATTTTTTGTCAAAAAATTTGGTGTTTTTCCCTAAAAATGCGATCTTTTTCATTAAAAAACCGAATTTTTTGGCTAAAACTCACCATTTTTTATACCCAAAAATTCCCATTTTTGTAAAAAAATTTGAGGTTTTTTCCTAAAAATTCCATTTTTTCCATAAAAATTTCCCATTTTTTGTCAAAAAAATTCAGATTTTTTAGTCAAAAATTCCGATTTTTTCGTCAATAATTCAATTTTTTTCCCTAAAAAAATCGATTTTTTTCCTAAAAAACTCAAATTTTTAAAATCAAAACTAAGCATTTTTTCACCCAAAAATTCCCATTTTTTGTCAAAAAAATTTCCATTTTTTCCCTAAAAATTCAATTTTTTCGCCAAAAAATTCCATTTTTTTCCCTAAAAACTTCGATTTTTTTCCTTAAAATATTCCAATTTTTGCATCAAAAATGACCATTTTTTTAAAACCAAAAATTACCATTTTTCCACAAGAAATTGCCCGAATTTTTCCCCCAAAAATTCCCATTTTTTACCCCAAAAATCGGGGATTTGGTTAAACACGGCGCAGCCCCTGTGCCGCGCCTTCCTCGTCACCGACGACGACATACGGTGAGTACAAAATCGCCTTATTTTCACCCAAAAATTCAGGTTTTTTCGCCAAAAAAATCCGTTTTTTAATGGCCAAAAAATCGCTTTTTTCGGGTCAAAAATTCCATTTTTTCACCAAAAAAAATCAATTGTTTTTGCCAAAAATTTAGATTTTTTTTCACCAAAAATTCAAATTTTTTACCTGAAAAGTTCAATTTTTTTGACAAAAAATTTGAATTTTTTTGCCAAAAATTCTTGGGTTTTAAAACCAAAAATTTGAATTTTTTTGTCTAAAAAATCGACTTTTTCGTAAAAAAATTCGATTTTTTCCTTAAAAAAGTTCCAATTTTTCAGTCAAAATATACCATTCTTTATACCCATAAATTCCCATTTTTTGTCAAAAAATTCCAATATTTTGGTGCAAAAATCCGATTTTTTCACCAAAAACTTCGAATTTTTCAGTCAAAAAATTCGACTTTTTCCCTAAAAAATTTGACTCGTTTAGTCAAAAATTACCATTTTTTACACCCAAAATTACCATTTTTTGTCAAAAAATACGTGGTTTTTTTCTAAAAATTCAATTTTTTTCCCCTTTAAAAATTCCAAATTTTCAGTCAAAAATTGCCATTTTTTATAGCCAAAAATACCCATTTTTGGCCAAAAAATCCGATTTTTTTGGTCAAAAAGTTCGATTTTTTCCTTAAAAAAGTTCCAATTTTACTGTCAAAATGTAACATTTTTTTAAACCCAAAAATTCCCATTTTTTGTTAAAAAATTCCGATTTTTTAGTCAAAAATTCTGATTTTTTCGTCAATAATTCAATTTTTTTCCCTAAAAAAATCGATTTTTTTCCTAAAAAACTCAAATTTTTAAAATCAAAACTAAGCATTTTTTCACCCAAAAATTCCCATTTTTTGTCAAAAAAATTTCCGTTTTTTCCCTAAAAATTCAATTTTTTCACCAAAAAATTCCATTTTTTTCCCTAAAAACTTCGATTTTTTTCCTTAAAATATTCCAATTTTTGCGTCAAAAATGACCATTTTTTTAAAACCAAAAATTCCCAATTTTTGTCCAAAAATTCCGATTTTTTTACTCCAAAAATTCCCATTTTTCCCCAAGAAATTGCCCACATTTTTCCCCCAAATATTCCCATTTTTACCCCAAAACCCGGGGATTTGGTTAAACACGGCGCAGCCGCTGTGCCGCGCCTTCCTCGGCACCGACGACAACATACAGTGAGTCACAAAATCGCCTTTTTTCACCCAAAAATTCAGTTTTTTAGCCCAAAAAAATCCATTTTTTAATACACAAAAAATCGATTTTTTTTGGCAAAAAAAATCTATTTTTTTCACCAAAAATTCAATTTTTTTCCCCTCAAAAAGTCAATTTTTTTCCCAAATAAATTCGAATTTTTTTGCCAGAAATTCCCGTTTCTTAAACCCAAAAATTACCGTTTTCCGCCAAAAATTACCATTTTTCGCCAAAAAATTCGATTTTTTTCTCTAAAAAATTCACTCTTTTAGTCAAAAATTACCATTTTTTACACCCAAAATTACAATTTTTTGTCAAAAAAATTTGGGGTTTTTTCCTAAAAATACGATTTTTTTCCTAAAAAATTCAAATTTTTTCTTGTCAAAAATGACCATTTTTTTAAACCCCAAAATTCCCATTTTTTGTCAAAAAATTCCAATTTTTTAGTCAAAAATACCGACTTTTTCCCCAGAATTCAATTTTTTCAGTAAAATAATTCGATTTTTTCCCTAAAAATTTTGAATTTTTTAGTCAAACATTCCCATTTTTTATACTGAAAAAATTCCCATTTTTTACCCCAAAAATTCCAATTTTTTCACAAAAAAATTCGATTTCTTTATCTAAAAATCGGATTTTTTCCCCAAAAAATTCCCATTTTTTACCCCAAAACCCGGGAATTTGGTTAAACACGGCGCAGCCGCTGTGCCGCGCCTTCCTCGGCACCGACGACGACATTCGGTGAGTCACAAATTCACCAAAAATCACGGTTTTTACACCAAAAAAATTACTTTTTGTACGCCCAAAAAATCTCTTTTTTTGGGAAAAAAATTCTATTTTTTTCGCCGAAAAATTCTATTTTTTTGGGCTAAAAATTCAATTTCTTGCACCAAAAAATTCAATTTTTTCAGTCAAAAAAATTCGATTTCTTTCCTAAAAAAAAATCGAAATTTTTGGCCAAAAATTCCTGGTTTTTAAACCCAAAAATTACTATTTTTAGCCAAAAAAAAATCAATCTTTTTGGTAAAAAAATGCGATTTTTCCCCAAAAAATTGAATTTTCTGGCCAAAATTTGCATTTTGTTTTGCCAAAAATTCTATTTTTTTTTGCCAAAAAAAAAAAAATAGAGATTTTTTACCCCAAAATTTGATTTTTGTAACCCAAACATTCCGATTTTTTCTCTAAAAATCTCAGATTTTTTGCGACAAAAATTCAATGTTTTGTCAAAAATTCCAATTTTTTTGTTAAAATTTTGATTTTTTCCACAAAAATTACCATTTTTACTCTAAAAATTCGGTATTTTACAGCCCCAAATTTCAATTTTGTTGCCAAAAAAAAATTAATTTTTCTGGGCAAAAAAATCACCCTTTTTTTCCTTATAAGTTTGATTTTTTGGACAAAAAATTAGAATTTCTTTGTCAAAAATTAACTTTTTTTGTCTAAAATTCCCATTTTTTAAACCCACAAACTACCTTTTTTTTTTTCCTAAAAATTCAGGGTTTTTTGCCAAAAATTCCTTTTTTTTTTTTTGCCAAAAAATCAATTTTTTAACCCCAAAAAATGGAATTTTTTTCCAAAGAAATTCGAATTTTTTTTTCAAAAATTAACCTTCGTTTTGCCAAAAATTGCCTTTTTTCAGCCCAAAAAATTCCCATTTTTTACCCCAAAAATAGGGGATTTGGTTAAACACGGCGCAGCCGCTGTGCCGCGCCTTCCTCGTCACCGACGACGACATTCGGTGAGTCACAAAATCTCGTTTTTTTACCCCAAAAATTCTGGTTTTTACCAAAAAAAATTCCGTTTTTTAATGCCTAAAAAATCGCTTTTTCCGGGTCAAAAATTCGAATTTTTTCGCCAAAAAATTCGATTTTTCTCGCCCAAAATTCAAATTTTTTTCTCGAAAAATTCCATTTTTTTATCCCAAAAAAATCGCCTTTTTTGGGCCAAAAATTTGATTTTTTCCCGTAAAAAATTTGATTTTTTTCAGCAAAAAATTTGAATTTTTTCGACAAAAAATTCCACATTTTTCGCCAAGAAATTCATATTTTTGGTCCAAAAATTCGATTTTTTTGGTGAAAAAGTGCCATTTATTAAACCCAAAAATTCCCATTTTTCGTCAAAAAATTCCAATTTTTTTCTCAAAAAATCTGGGTTTTTTTCCTAAAAAGTCCTTTTTTTCCCTAAAAAATTCGAATTTTTTGGTCAGAAATGACCATTTTTGAAACCCAGAAATTACCAGTTTTTGTAAAAAAATTCCAATATTTTGGTCAAAAATATTGATTTTCTCGCCAAAAGCTCGATTTTTTTGGTCAAAAAATTCGACTTTTTCCCTTAAAAATTGCAATTCTTTAGTCAAATATTACCTTTTTTTATACCCAAAATTTACCTTTTTTTGTCAAAATATGCCAATTTTTTGGTGCAAAATTTCGAGTCTTTCGGTCAAAAAATTTGATTTTTTCCCTAAAAGGTTCGAATTTTTTAGTCAAAAATTACCGTTTTTATAACAAAAAATTACCATTTCTTATCCAAATAATTCCATTTTTTTCCCTATGATTTCGAATTCTTTTTGGCAAAAAAATTCAAATATTTTGCCTGAAAAATTCAATTTTTTGGACAAAAAAATATTTTGGTTCAAAATTGCCATTTTTATACCCAAAAATTCCCATTTTTTGTCAAAAAATTCCAATATTTTGGTCCAAAATATCGATTTTCTCGGCAAAAAATTTTATTTTTTCCCTAAAAAATTTTAATTTTTTTGGTTAAAAATTCCCATTTTTTATACCATATAATTTGAATTTTTCGTCCAAAAAATCGAATTTTTTGGTCCAAAAATTTGGGGTTTTTTTCTAAAAATTCAATTTTTTTCCCTAAAAAATTCCAATTTGTTGGCCAAAATTTACCATTTTTATACCCCAAAATTGCCATTTTTTGTTAAAAAAATCCCATTTTTTGTCAAAAAGGTCCAAGTTTTTCCCCCAAAAAATCGATTTTTTTAGCCCAAAATTTGATTTTATTCACCAAAAATTCGCTTTTTTTAATTAAAAAAATACAAGTTTTTTTGCTAAAAAATTTAAGTTTTTTCCCCAAAAAAATTCCCCTTTTTTTTTCTGCCAAAAATTCAAAATTTTTTTTCCTCTAAGAATTGGATTTTTTCGGAAAAATTTGAATTTTCAGTGAAAAAAATAAAAATTTTTGTGCAAAAAGAAAAATCTGAATTTTTAGGAGAAAAGAAATACGAATTTTTTTCTCAAAAAATGTGAATTTTTTCCTTAAAAAAATGGAATGTTTGGGTAACAAAATCTGAATTTTTTAATATAAAAACTGGATTTTTTCCTGAAAAATCCGATTTTTTTTTCAGCAAAAAATTGAATTTTTTGGTGAAAAAAATCGGATTTTGGGGGGAAAAAAACCCGAATTTTTTAGGAAAAAAATCGAATCTTTGAGGAACAAAAAGGGAATTTTTTGGGAAAAAAATGGGAATTTTCAAGAGTAAAAAAAATACCATTTTTTCCATGAAAAATTGGAAAGTTTGGGGAAAAAAGTGGAATTTTTGGGTAACGATCGTGATTTTTGTGGGAAAAAATTTGGAATTTTCTGGTTTTAAAATGGGAATTTTTTAGTGTAAGAAAATTAAATTTTAGGTGGAGAAATTCAATTTTTTTTAATTAAAAAATTAAAATTTTTTTGATGAAAAACTAGAATTTTTTCACGGAAAAAAATTCGTATTTTTCCATGAAAAATTTGACTTTTTTAAAGCAAAAATGTGAGTTTTTGGGTGACAAAAATCGAATTTTTGATGGAAAAAAATTCAACTTTTGAGTGAAAAAAATCGAATTTTTGCAGAAAAAGAAATTTTTTTGGGAAAATCGGGAATTTTTAGGTGAAAAGATTGGATTTTTTTTTAGGGGAAAAATTGGGGCATTTTTTGAGGAAAAAATGGAAATTTTTGGGTGAAAAATTGGATTTGTTTGGAGGAAAAAATGGAAATTTTTGCAATTAGAGAAGAAGGATTTTTGGGGGGAAAATGGGTGGAAATTTGAATTTTTGGGGAAAAAAAATCGATTTTTTTGAGAAAAATTCGATTTTTGGGTGAAAAAATTGGAATTTTTTCCTGAAAATTTTGAATTTTTTTGGAGCAAAAATGTGGATTTTTGGGTGAAAAAAATTGAATTTTAAGGGAAAAAAAATCGGATTTTTGAGGGGAGAAAAGGGATTTTTTGGGTGGAAAAAATGGGAATTGTTGGGGAAAAAGTTTAAATTTGGGGGGAGAAAATTGGAAATTTTGGGCAAAAAAATAGGATTTTTTTAGGGAGAAAATGGGAATTTTGGGGTGTAAAATTGGAATTTCAGGGAAAAATTGAATTTTTTTTGACAAAAATGTGTATTTTTGGGTGAAAAAAATGGAATTTTTTTGGCAAAAAAATTCAACTTTTGATTGCAGAAAATCGAATTTTTGAGGAAAAAAAGAGATTTTTTGGGGGGAAAAAAATCGAATTTTTGGTAAAAAAAAAATTGAATTTTTGTGGAAAAAATTCGAATTTTTTAGGAAAAAATTCGAATTTTTGATAAAAAAATGTGAATTTTTTTGGAAAAATCAGAGTTTTTGAGGGAAAAAATTGGAATTTTTGGACAAAAAAAATCAAATTTTTTTAAGGAAAAAACGGGAATTTTTGGGTGAAAAACATAATTTTTTTTTGCAAGAAAAGTGACTTTTCTGAAAAAATTCAAATTCTTTAGAAAAAAAAGTGGGATTTTTGTTAGGAGAAAAATGGGATTTTTTTGGGGGAAAAAGTTGGAATTTTTGGGGAAAGATCAGAATTTTTGGTAAAAAAAGGGAATTTTTTAGTAGAAGGAAGTGAAATTTTCTGTGAAAAAATTCGAATTTTTTGGAACAAAAATGTGAATTTTTGGGTGAAAAAAATTGAATTTTTGAGGGGAAAAAATCGAATTTTTGAGGGAAAAGAGGGATTTTTGGGGGGAAAAATGAAATTTTCGGGAAACATTTTAATTTTTTTTGCAAAAATGTGAATGTATGGGTGAAAAATCGAAATTTTTTTTGGCAATAAAATTGAATTTTTTGAGTGACAAAAATGGAATTTTTGATGGAAAAAATCGAATTTTTTAGGGAAAAAATGGTAATTTTGGGGTAAAAAATGGGAATGATTTTAGTCGATGAAAGTGAAATTTTAGGTGAAAAAACTAATTTTTATGGAAAAATTCAAATTTTTTGGTGACAAATTGGAATTTTTTCATGAAATAATTTGAAATTTTTTTGGAGCAAAAATGTGAATTTTTGGGTGAAAAAAATCGAAATTTTGAGTGAAAAAAATCGAATTTTTGAGTGAAAAAAATCAGATTTTTGCGGAAAAAAAAAGGGATTTTTTTTGGGAAAAAAATGGGAATTTTTAAGACTAAAAAATACAATTTTTACCCATGAAAAATATGAAATTTTTTGGGTTAAAAAATGCTGCTTTTGGTCAGGAAACAGGAGGAGCGGGTGCAGCAGGTGAGGAAGAGGCTGGAGGAGGCGCTGATGGCCGAAGGGTTTTCCCGGAATTTCGAATGCGGAAAAACTCCGGAATTCCAGCGGGAAAGCGGCCAAGAGGCGTGAGGGAAAAAGGTAAAAAATGGGGAAAATTGGGCAAAAATTGGGAATTTTTGAGGGGAAAAATGGGAAAAATTTGGGGGAAAAAATTCAATTTTTAAGGGAAAAGATGGGATTAAAATGGGGAAAAAATGTGAATTTTTGAGGGAAAAATTGGAAAAAAAATTTGAATTTTTGAAGGAAAAATTGGGATTAAAATGGGAAAAAAATTTGAATTTTTGTGGGAAAAAATGGGATTAAAATGGGGAAAAAATTTGAATTTTTGAAGGAAAAAATGGGATTAAAATGGGGAAAAAATGGGGAAAAATTTGGATTTTTGAGGGAAAAATAGCGGAAAAATGGAAATAAAATTGGAATTTTTGAAGGAAAAATTGGGGGAAATGGGGAAAAATTTGGAATTTTTGAAGGAAAAATTGGGGTAAAATAGGGGAAATTTGGGGGGAAATTGGGGAAAAAATGGGCAAAAAATTCGAATTTTTGTAGGAAAAAGTGGGGGAAATTGGGAAAAATATGGGAAAATTTGGGGAAAATTTGGGAAAAAATTGGAATTTTTGAAAGGAAAATCGGGGAAAATTGGGCAAAAAAATTAGAATTTTTGAAGGAAAAATTGGGATTAAAATGGGGAATAAAATTTGAATTTTTGAAGGAAAAATTGGAGAAAATTGGGGGAAAATTGGGGAAAAATTGGGGAAAAAATTGGAATTTTTAAAGGAAAAATCGGGATTCAAATGGGGAAAAAATGGGGGAAAAATTTGGATTTTTGAGGGGAAAGTTGGGGAAATTGGGAAAAAATTGGGGGAAAATTGAGGAAAAATTGGGGAAAAATGAGAAAAAAATTGGAATTTTTGAGGGAAAAATTGGGAGGAAATTGGGTGGAAAATGGGCAAAAACGAGAATAAAATGGGAAAAATTAGAGAAAAAAATTGGGGAAAAAAATCAAATTTTTGAAGGAAAATTAGGGAAAAATTGGGAATAAAATTGGATTTTTTGAAGGAGAAATTGGGGAAAATTAGGCAAAAAAATCGTATTTTTGAGGGAAAAAATATGGGGAAATAGGGAAAAAACAGGCAAAATTTGGGATTTTTTTTGAGAAAAAAATGGGAATTTTTGGGAAGAAAAATGTGGAAGTTTTTGGGTAAAAAATGGGAATTTTTTGGGTTAAAAAACGGGGAATTTTCTGGGTAAAAAATGGGATTTTTTGACAGGAAAAATGGGATTTTTTGGGTTAAAAAATGGGAATTTTTTGGGTAAAAATTGGGAATTTGTGGGTAAAAAATTGGGAATTTTTGGGTTAAAATAGGGAATTTTTTTGGGGGTAAAAATGGGAATTTTTGTGGGAAAAATAAAAATTTTTTGGGATAAAAATGTGGAATTTTTTGGGTAAATATTTGGGTTTTTTTGGAGGAAAAATGGGAATTTTTGGTACAAAAAATAGGAATTTTTAGGGGAAAAATTGGGAATTTTTGGGATAAAAATTGGGAATTTTTTGGGTTAAAAAATGGGAAAAATTGGGATAAAATTTGGATTTTTGGAGGAACAAAGAGAATTTTTGGGAGGAAAATTGGGAATTTTTTTTAGTATAAATTGGGAATTTTTGGGAGGAAAATGTGGAAGTTTTTGGGTAAATATTTAGGTTTTTTTGGAGGAAAAATGAGAATTTTTGGTGGGAAAACTGGGAATTTTTAGGGGAAAAAATGGGAAATTTTTGGGAGAAAAAGGGGTATTTTTTGGATAAAAATCGGGAATTTTTGGGAGGAAAAATGGGAATTTAGGGGGTAAAAAATGGAAATTTTTTGGTTAATAAAAGGGAATTTTTTTGGGGAAAATGGCCTTTTTTGGGTTAAAAAATGGGAAATTTTGGGTTAAAAAATGGGAATTTTCTGGGTAAAAATGGGAATTTTGGGGGGGGAAATGGGAATTTTTTGGGGGAAAAATGGGAATTTTGGGGTAAATTTTGGATTTTTTTGGGTGAAAAATTGGGAATTTTGGGGGGTTAAATAAGGGAATTTATTGGTTAAAAATTGAGAATTTATTGGTTAAAAAATGGGAATTTTTGAGGGAAGAACTGGGGGAAAATTCTGCAAAAATTGGAATAAAATTGGGGGAAAAAGTGGGAAAAAATGTGAAAAAAATTTGAATTTTTTTCCTGATTTTTTTGTTTAAAAATTCCCCCGAAATTCCCAAAAATTCCTTAAAAATTCCTTAAAAATTCCTTAAAAAATTCAATTTTTTTTCTCTTTCAGGTCCAGGAAACCCGAGGAGGAAACGGCTGCAAAATTCTCAATTTTTGGCACTTTTTTAACCCATTTCGGAATTTTTTTTCCGAAATTTTGGAATTCCAAAAAATTCCTTTTTTTTTAAACAAAAAAATAAATAAAATTTTAAATAATTATTTTTTTTTCCGGATGTAAATAATTTTAAATATTAAAAAAAAATATTAAAAATTCCCAATTAAAATTGAATTTATTTTGATTTTTTGCTTTTTTTTTTTGGTGGAAAATTCCACGTTAAAAAAATAAAAAAATTTTAATTTTTTTTTTTGGGAATTCCGGAATTTTGGGGTGGAAAAAAAAAAAAAAAACACCCCAAAATTTTTGTAAATAAATAAAGAAATAAAAAAAATTTTAATTTTAAATAAAAAGAGAAATTTTTTATAGGAGAGATGAAAACTAAAAAATATCAGGTGGGAAATAAAAGAGAAATAAATGGATTTATTCGGAATTTTTTTGTGTGTGGAGTTTTTGGGGGAAAATGAGGAAAATTGGGGAAAAATGGGGAAAAAAATCAAATTTTTTTAAGGGAAAATTGGTTGAAAAATGTCAAAAAAAAAGAATAAAATGGGGGAAAATTGGGATAAAATTGGGGAAAATGTGGGAAAAAATAGAAATTTTTGGGTAAAAAACGGAATTTTGGGGGGAAAATTGGGCCTTTTTTGGGGGAAAAAATGGGGGAAAATTGGGGATTTTTGGGTGAAATTTTAGGGGAAATTTGGGAATAAATGTGGGAAAATTGGGAATTTTTTGGGGAAAAAATTGCGAATAAATGGTTGAAAAATGGTTGGAAAATGGGCAAAAAATGGGCAAAAAATGGGCAAAAAATTCGAATTTTTGAAGGAAACAAATGGGGGAAAATGGGTAAAAATTTAGATTAAAATGGGGAAAAATGGGGGAAATTGGGGAAAATTGGGAGGAAATTTGGGAAAATTTGGGGGGAAATTGGGGAAAATTTGGGGAAAATTTGGGGAATATTGAGGGAAAATGGGAAAATTGGGGGAAATTGGGGAAAAAATTGGGAATAAATGGGGATAAAATTGGGGAAAATGGCCGGAAACTAAGCAAAAAATTGGAATTTCTGACTGAATGTGGGAAAATTCGGGAAAATTTGGGGGCAAAGTTGGTGAAAATTTTGGGAAAATTTTCGGGAAATTGGGGAAAAAATGGAGGAAAATTGGAGAAAAATTCGGGAAAATTTGGGGGGAATTGGGGGAAATTGGGGAAAAATTGGGCAAGAAATTCGATTTTCTGAATGAATAAATGGGGGAAAATGGGAAAAAAAGGGGAAAATTGGGGGAAATTTGGAAAAAATTGGAGAAAAATTTGGGGAAAATTGGGGTAAAAGTGGGGGAAAATGGGTAAAAAATTCGATTTTTTGAAGGAAAAAATGGGAAAAAATGAGATTCAATTGGGGGAAAATTGGGGAAAAATTGGGGGAAATTCTGGGAAAATTGGGAAAAAATTGGGGGAAATGGCGGAAGAAAATTCGAATTTTCGAGGGAAAAACTGGGGGGAAATGGGTAAAAATTTGGATTAAAATGGGGATAAAATGGGGGAAAATTGGAGAGAAATTGGTGGAAATTGGGAAAAATTCGATTTTTTTTATGGAAAAAATGGGGAAAAATTGGGGAAAATGGGGAAAAAATTCGAGAACAATTGGGGGAAAATTGGGAAAAAATGGAAATAAATGGGGAAAATTGGGGGAAAATTGGGGAAAAACGGGCAAAAATTTCGAATTTTTGAGGGAAAAAATGAAAATAACATGGGGAAAAATTGGGGTAAATTTGGGGGTAAATTGGGGGAAATTGGCAAAAAATGACAAAAATGGGAATAAAATGGGAAAAATTGGGAGAAATTGGGGGAAATTTTGGAAAAAATGGGCAAAAAATTCGGATTTTTGATGAAAAAATGGGGAAAATATGGGGGAAAATTGAAGAAAAATTTGGTTAAATTTGGGGAAACATTGGGGAAGTTTTGGGAAAATTGGGAAAATTTTGGGGGAAAAAGGACAAAAATTCGAATTTTTGAAGGGAAAAATTGGGGAAAAAATGGAAAATTGGAGAAGAATTCGGGAAAATTTTGGGAAAATTTTGGGAAAATTGGGGGAAAATGGGCAAAAAATTGAATTTTTGATGGAAAAAATGGGGGAAATTGGGGAAAAATAGGGAAAAATTGGGGAAAATTGGGGAAAAAATGGAGCAAAATGGGCAAAAAATTCGAATTTTTGAGGGAAAAACGGGGGGAAATGGGGAAAAACTCGGAGAAAATTGGGGAAATTTTTGGGAAAATTGGGTAAAATTTTCGGGGGAAATTGGTGAAAAATTGGGGAAAACTTTGGAAAGAGTGTGGGAAAAATGGGCAAAAATTTCGAATTTTTGGTGGAAAAAATGGGGGGAAAATTGGGGATAATTTAGGGAAAATTGGAGGAAAATTTGGGGGAAATTGGGATAAAAATGGGGGAAAAATGAGAATTTTTGAAGGAAAAAATATGGGAAAATGAGAATAAAATGGGGAAAATTGGGGAAAAATTGGAGAAAAACTGGGGGAAAATTTGGGGGGAAATTGGAGGGAAAATGGAGAAAAATGGACAAAAAAATCGAATTTGTGATGGAAAAAAATGGGGGAAATTGGGGGAAAATTCGGGAAAAATTGGGGGAAATTTGGGAAAGATTGGGGGAAAATTTGGATTAAAATGAGAATAAATGGGGGAATATTCGTATAAAATTTGGGGGGGAAATTGGGGGAAATTTTGGGAAAATTGGGAAAAAAATCGGGAAAATGGCAGAAAAAATAGCCAAAAAATTGGAATTTTTGATGGGAAAAATGAGAATAAAATGGGGAAAAAATGGGGGAAATTGAGGAGAAATTCGGGAAAATTTGAGGGGAAAATCAGGAAAAATTGGGGGAAAAAAGGGAAATTTTGGGAAAATTGGGGAAGAATTGGGTAAAGATTCGGAAGAAATTGAGAAAAAATGGGGGAAAATTGGGGGAAATTTGGGAACAAATTGGGGAAAATTTGGAGAAAATTGGGGGAAAATTGGGAAAAAATAGGGAAAATTTGGGGAAAATTGGGGAAAATCTGGGAAAAATTTGGGGGGAAAATTGGGGAAAATTTGGGGAAAAATGGGGAAAATTGGGGGAAAATTGGGTGAAAATTGGGGGAAATTGGGAAAATTTGGGGGGAAAATTGGGGAAATTTTTTGGAAAATTTGGGGAAAAAATGGGGGGAAAATGGGGATAATTGGGGAAAATGGACAAAAAATTCAAATTTTTGAAGGGAAAAATTGGGAAAAAATGGGAAATTGGGAGAAAAATTCGGGAAAATTTGGGGAGAAATTTTGGGAAAAATTAGGGGAAAATTGAGAAAAATTGGGAAAAATGGAGAAAAATGGGCAAAAAAAAATTCGAATTTTTGAGCGAAAAACGGGGGAAAATGGGGAAAAACTCAGAGAAAATTGGGGAAAATTTTGGGAAAATGAGGAAAATTTTGGGGGGAAAATGGACAAAAAATTCGAATTTTTTATGGGAAAAATGGGGGGAAATTGGGGGAAATTCAGGAAAAATAGGGGGAAAATTGGGCAAAAATTTTGAATTTTCGAAGGAAAAATGTGAGAAAAATGACAATAAAATGGGAATAAAATGGGGGAAAATTGGGGAAAAATTGGGAAATCGCGAAAAATTTGGGGTGAAAATTGGGGAAAATTTGGGGATAATTTTGGGAAAATTGGGGGAAATTGGGGAAAATTGGGGAAATCTGGGAAAAATGTGGGGGAAAATGGACAAAAAATGCGAATTTTTGAAGGAAAAAATGGGGAAAAAATGGATAAAAATTCGGATTTTAATGGGGATAAATGGGAAAAAATTTTGGGAGAACTGGGGGAAAATTTGGGGGGAAAATTTGGGGAAATTTTGGGGAATAATTTGGGTAAAAAAATCGGAATAAAAGGACAACCAACACAAAATTATTTGTTTTTTTTGTCAGGAATTTCCATCCTTTTTTTTTATTGGCGCGAAATTTCCGAAAACCGAAACGAACCGAAAAAAAGAAAAGAAATTAAAAATGAAAATAAAAATAAAAATAAAAAATAAAAACAAACCGCGCGAAATTTTGGGGGGAAAAACGGCGAAAATGGGTAAAAAAAAAGGTAAAAAAATTCTGAATTTCGGCGCTCGCGGTTGGGTTTGGGATGATTTTAAATTGAATTTTTAATCGGTTTTTAGCTCATTTTAAATTGAATTTTTATCTATTTTTTATCTCATTTTAAATTGATTTTTTTTCTCATTTTATCTCTTTTTATCTCTTTTTATATTGAATTTTTAATCGGTTTTTAGCTCACATTAAATTGATTTTTTTTCTGGTTTTATCTATTTTATCTCACTTTAAATTGAATTTTTTATCTATTTTTATCTGTTTTTATCTCAATTTAAATTAATTTTTTTATCTCTTTTTATCTCATTTTAAAATGAATTTTTTATCTGTTTTTAGCTCACTTTAAATTGAATCTTTATCTGTTTTTATTTATTTTATCTCACTTTAAATTGAATTTTTTATCTATTTTTAATCTCTTTTTATCTCATTTTATATTGAATTTTTTATCTGTTTTTATCTCATTTTAAATTGAATTTTTTTATCTGTTTTTATCTCATTTTAAAGTGAATTTTTTTCTGGTTTTTATCTATTTTAGCTCATTTTAAATTGAATTTTTTATCTCTTTTTAAATTGAATTTTTATCTCAATTTAAATTGAATTTTTATCATTTTTATATAATTTTAAATTGAATTTTTACCATTTTTACCTCATATTTAACTGAATTTATATCAGTTTTTATCTCACTTTAAATGGAATTTTTATCTCGATTTAAATTGAATTGTTATCTCACTTTAACTCGAATTTTTATCAGTTTTATCTCATTTAAATTGAATTTTTATCTCACCTTAAATTAAATTTTTATCATTTTTATCTCATTTTAAATCGAATTTTTACCATTTTTATCTCACTTTAAATGGAATTTTTATCTCGATTTGAATTGAATTTTTATCTCATTTTAAATTAAATTTTTACCATTTTTATCTCATTTTAAACTGAATTTTTATCAGTTTTTATCACAGTTGAAACTGAATTTTTATCAGGTTTTATCTCACTTTAAATGGAATTTTTACCTCAATTTAAATTAAATTTTTACCATTTTTTATCTCATTTTAAACTGGATTTTTATCAATTTTTGTCTCATTTTAAATGGAATTTTTATCAGTTTTTATCTCCATTTAAACCGAATTTTTGTCAGTTTTTATCTCAAGTTAAAGTGAATTTTTACCATTTATTATCTCACTTTAAATTCAATTTTTACCTCAATTTAAATCGAATTATTATCAATTTTAATTTCAATTTAAATCCAATTTTTATCTATTTTTATCTCAATTTAAACTCAATTTTTACCATTTTAATTTCAATTTAAAGTGAATTTTTACCATTTTTATCTCTCCTTAAACCGAATTTTTTTTCTCAATTTAAATCGAATTTTTATCAGTTTTTATCTCAATTTAAACCGAATTTTTACCATTTTTATCTCCCTTTAAACCGAATTTTTACCTCAATTTAAATCGAATTTTTATCAATTTTTATCTCATTTTAAATCCAATTTTTACCATTTTTACCTCAATTTAAATCGAATTTTTACCATTTTTACCTCATTTTAAACTGAATTTTTATCAATTTTTACCTCAATATAAATCGAATTTTTATCCTTTTTTTATCTCCCTTTAAACCGAATTTTTACCTCAATTTAAATCGAATTTTTATCAATTTTTACCTCAATTTAAATCCAATTTTTATCAGTTTTTATCTCATTTCAATCCAAATTTTTACCATTTTTATCTCAATTTAAAGTGAATTTTTACCATTTTTTATCTCCCTTTAAACCAAATTTTTACCTCAATTTAAATCGAATTTTTATCAATTTTTACCTCAATTTAAATCCAATTTTTATCAGTTTTTATCTTGATTTAAATCCAATTTTTATCTATTTTTATCTCAATTTAAACCGATTTTTTACCATTTTTATCTCAATTTAAAGTGAATTTTTACCATTTTTATCTCACTTCAAACTCAATTTTTATCTCATTTTAAATTAAATTTTTACCATTTTAATCTCATTTTAATCCAAATTTTTACCATTTTTATCTCAATTAAAATCGAATTTTTATCAATTTTTTTCTCAATTTAAAGTGAATTTTTACCATTTTTATCTCAAATTAAATTGAATTTTTATCACTTTTTATTTCAATTTTAAATCAGATTTTTATCAATTTTTTTCTCAATTTAAATCGAATTTTTACCATTTTTATCTCCTTTTAAACCGATTTTTTACCTCAATTTAAATTGAATTTTTTTCAATTGTAATTTAATTTTAAATCGAATTTTTACCATTTTTCCCTCATTTTAACCCAATTTTCCCCATTTTTTCCCCCTTTTATCCCCCCAAAAATTCCCATTTTTTCACCACTTCCGCCATCATTTCCCCCATAAAAAAAAACCAGAAAATTTTTTCCTTTTTTTTTATTATTTTTTATTTTTTTATCTCTTTTTTCCCTATAGATTCATCCTATAGATCCGTAAAAAAAATTGACCGAAAATTCCGAGTTCCTCTTCCAGTTCGACGCCGAAAAAATCGACATTTTTTGGTAAAAAATTCGACATTTTTGGGTCAAAATTGAAATTTCCTCTTCCGGTTCGATGACAAAAAAATGGCGAAAAATCGAAACCGAAAATTGACATTTTTGGTAAAAAATTCAACATTTTTGGGTCAAAATCGAAATTTCCTCTTCCGGTTGGATGACCAAAAAATGGCGGAAAAATCGAAACCAAAAATTGACATTTTTGGTAAAAAATTCAACATTTTTGGGTCAAAATTGAAATTTCCTCTTCCAATTCAATGATGGAAAAATCGAAACCGAAAATTGACATTTTTGGTAAAAAATTCAACATTTTTGGGTCAAAATCGAAATTTCCTCTTCAAATTCGATGACAAAAAAATAGCGAAAAAATAAAAATTGAAAATTGACATTTTTGGTAAAAAATTCGACTTTTTTGGGTCAAAATCGAGAGTTTCTCTTCTAATTCAATGATGGAGAAATTGAAACCAAAAATTGACATTTTTTGGTAAAAATTTCAACATTTTTGGGTCAAAATCGAAATTTCCTCTTCCGGTTGGACGACGAAAAAATGGCGGAAAAATCAAAATTGAAAATTGACATTTTTGGTGATAAATTCGACATTTTTGGGTCAAAATTGAAATTTTCTCTTCCAGTTCGATGACAAAAAAATGGCGGAAAAATCTAAACCGAAAATTGACATTTTTTGGTAAAAAATTCGACGTTTTTGGGTCAAAATCGAAATTTCCTCTTCCGGTTGGACGACAAAAAAATGGCGGAAAAATCGAAACCAAAAATTGACATTTTTTGGTGATAAATTCGACGTTTTTGGGTCAAAATCGAAATTTTCTCTTTCAGTTGGACGACAAAAAAATGGCGGAAAAATCAAAACCAAAAATTGACATTTTTTGGTGTCAAAATCACCATTTTTGGGTCAAAATCGAAATTTCCTCTTCCGGTTCAATGATGGAGAAATTGAAATGGAAAAATTGACATTTTTGGTAAAAAATTCACCATTTTTGGGTCAAAATCGAAATTTCCTCTTCCGGTCGGACGACAAAAAAATGGTGGAAAAATCGAAACCGAAAATTGACATTTTTAGTAAAAAATCACCATTTTTGGGTCAAAATCGAAATTTCCTCTTCCAAACCACCAACTGGAAAAACCGGAACCGGATCCGGAAATGGCGTCGAAACCGGAAGTGGAACAGGAAGTGGAACCGGAAATGGCACCGGAATAGGAAGTGGGACCGGATGTGGAACTGGAAACGGAACCGGAACCGGAAATGGTGTCAAAAACTGGAACTGGAACCAAAGTGGGACCGGAACTGGAAATGGCGCCGGAACCGGAAGTGGGACCGGATGTGGAACCGGAAACGGAACCGGAACCGGAAATGGCGGCAAAACCGGAAGTGAGGATCAATCCAATGGTTGAGGCTCTATGATGGTCATTGTCCAAAAGTTAGAGGGAACCGGAAGTGGACCCGGAAATGGCATCGAAAACCGGAAATTGTGCCGGAATCGGAACCGGAAATGGTGTCAGAACCGGAACTGGAACAGAAAGTGGGACCGGAAATGGCGTCGGAACCGGAAGCGGAACCAGAAGTGGAAATGGCGACGTCGATCAATCCATGGTCACAGTGCTCAAGTCCTTGTCCAGGAGACGGAGAGAACCGGAAGTGAAACCGGAAATGGTGTCAGAACCGGAAGTGGAACTGGAAATGGCGCCGGAAACAGAAGAGGAAGCGGAAGTGAATTCGGAAATGGCGTCAGAACCGGAACAGGAAGCGGAAGTGACAGTGTCGATCCATCCATGGTCACGGTGCTCAAGACGTTGTCCAAGAGCCGGAGGGAACCGGAAACCTAACCGGAAATGGCGCCGGAACTGGAAGTGAGGCTCAATTCAAAGGTTGTGGCCTGGTGATGGGCACAGTGTGCAACTCCTCGTCCAAGGGCCGAAGGGAACCAGAAGTGAAACCGGAAGTGGAACCGGAAACTGAAGTGGAGCCGGAAGTGGAAGTGGCGACGTCGATGAATCCATGGGTATGGTGCACATGACCTTGTCCAAGAGCCAGAGGGAACCGGAAGTTGAACCGGTAGTGGAACTGAAAATGGCGTTGGAACCGGATTGGAACCGGACCTGGAACCGGAAATGGCACCGGAACCGGAACCAGAAGTAGAACCGGAAGTGGTGACATCAATCAATCCATGGCCACAGTACACATGACGTCATCCAAGAGCGGGAGGGAACCAGAAATGGAACCGGAACTTGAACTGAAAATGGCGGCAGAATCGGAAGTGGAACCGGAAGAGGAAACCGTAAGGTACGCCAGAACTGGAAGTGGAGCCAGAAGTGAAGCCGGAAACTATGCTGGAACCGGAAATCGAACCGAAAATGGCGCCGGAGCCGGAAGTGGATCTGGAGTGGTGGGGGAACCGGAAGTGAGTCTCAATCCAAGGGTTGAAGCTCGGTGATGGACATGGTGGGCAAGTCCTCGTCCAGGAACCGGAAGTGGAACCGTAAATGGCGCCGGAACCGGAAGTAGGGCCGGAAATGGCGGCAGGGCCGGAAGTCGAACTGGAAGTGGAACCGGAAATTGCGTCAGAACCAGAAATGGCGTTGGAAATGGAAACAGAACCGGAAATGAGGATCAATCCAGGCTTTGCGGCTCGGCGATGGGCACCGTCTGCGAGTCCTCGTCCAGGAGCCAGAGGAAACCGGAAATGGCGCCGGGACCGGAAATAGAGCCGGAAATGGCGCTGGAACCGGAAGTAGGACTGAAAGTAGAGCCGGAGATGGCGCCGGAACCGGAAGTAGAACCGGAAGTAGGACTGGGAGTAAAACCGGAAATGGCGCCGGGACCGGAAGTTGACCCAGAAATGGAACCGGAAGTGGCCTCGGAACTGGAACCGGAACCGGAAATGCGGCTCAATCCAACGGTTGAGGCTCGGCGATGGGCATGGTGTGCAAGTCCTCGTCCAGGAACCGGAAATGGCGGCAGATCCGGAACTGGAGCCGGAAATGGCGTCGAAACCGAAAGTGGAACCAGAATTTGAACCGGAAATAGTGCTGGGACTGGAAGTAGAACCGGAACTGAAACCAAAAGTTACGCCGGACCTGGAAGTGGAGCCGGAAGTCGAACCGGAAGTGCCGCTCACTCCAAGGGTTGGGGCTCAGCGATGGGCATGGTGTGCAGCACCTCGTCCAGGAACCGGAAGTGGAACCGGAAGAGAAACCGGAAATAGCGTCGGAACCGGAAGTGGAGCCGGAAACTGAACCGGAAGCAGACCCGGAAGTGGCGGCCTCGATCAATCCATGGACACAGTTTGCAAGTCCTCATCCAGGAGCTGGAGGAAACCGGAAACGGGGCCGGAACCAGAAGTAGAACTGGAAATCGAACTGAAAATGGCGCCGGAACCGGAAGTAGAACCGGAAGTAGAACCGGAAGTGGAACCGGAAGTGGAATCGGAAGTGGTGATGTTAATCAATCCATGGTCACAGTGCACATGACCTTCTCCATAAGTTGAAAGGAACCAGAACTGGAATCGAAAGTGGCGTCGGAACTGGAAGTAGGACCAGAAGTGGAACCGGAAGTGTGTCTCAATCCAAATGCTGCGGCTCAGCGATGGGCAAAACATTGTCCACGAGCCAGAGGGAAACGGGACCGGAAGGTGAACCGGGAATGGCGCTTGAACCGGAAGTAGAACCGGAAGTACAACCGGAAGTAGAACCGGAAATTGAACCGGGAGTGACGCCGGAACCGGAAGTACAACCGAAAGCGGGTTTCAATCCAACGGTTGGGGCTCGGCGATGGGCCATAGTGTCCAAAATGTCGTCTGTGAGCCGGAGGGAACCAGAAGTGGAACAGAAAATGGCGTCAGAACTCGGAAGTAGAACCGGAAATGGCGCCGGAACCCGGAAGTCGAACCGGAAATGGAACCGGAAATGTCACCGGAACCAGAAATGAGGATCAATCCAGCGGCTGGGGCTCGGCGATGGGCATGGTGTGCAGCACCTCGTCCAGCAGCTGCAGCGCGCGGTGCAGGTGGATCTCGATCCAACATGGCGTCTCCTTGATGCTCTGCCGGGGGTAGTCGGGCCCCCAGCCCTTGACGAAGCTCAGCCGGAGGATGCAGAGACGCCGCAGGTCGTCCACACCGATGCCCGCGGCGGCTGAGAGGCCTGGGGGGGGAGAGGGAAGGTCCTGGAAGGTTAATGGATGGCTAGGTCCTGGTAGGTTAAAGCCCTGAGAGGTCCTGGTAGGTTAATGCTATGGTAGGTCCTGGTAGATTGATGTTATGGTAGATTAATGCTATGGTAGGTCCTGGCAGATTAATGGCCTGCTAGGTCCTGACAGCTTAATTCTATGATAGGTTCTGGTAGATTAATTCTCTGGTAGGTTCTTGCTGCTTAATGCTATCGTAGGTCCTAGTAGGTTAATGTTATGGTAGGTCCTGGTAGATTAATGCTATGGTAGGTCCTGGTAGATTAATGCTATCGTAGGTCCTGGTAGGTTAATGCCTTAGTAGGTCCTGGCAGCTTAATGCGCTGATAGGTTCTGGTAGGTTAATGCTATCGTAGGTCCTGGTAGATTGATGTTATGGTAGGTTAATGCTATGGTAGGTCATGGCAGGTTAATGCCTTCATAGGTTCTGGTTCATTAATACTATGGTAGGTCCTGGTAGGTTAATGCCCTGATAGGTTTCAGTAGATTACTGCCCTGCGAGGTCCTGGTGGATTGATGTTATGGTAGGTCCTGGTAGATTAATGCTATGGTAGGTTAATGCTATGGTAGGTCCTGGTAGGTTAATGTTATGGTAGGTCCTGGTAGGTTAATGCTCTGCTAGGTCCTGGTAGGTTAATGCCCTGATAGGTTCCGGTAGGTTAATGCCCTGGTAGGCCCTGGCAGCTTAATGCCTTCATGGGTTCTGGTAGATTAATAAAAGGGTAGGTCCTGGCAGCTTAATGCCCTGATAGGTTTTGGGAGATTAATGCTATGGTAGGTCCTGGTAGGTTAATGTTATGGTAGGTTAATGCTATGGTAGGTCCTGGCAGCTTAATGCTATGGTAGGTTAATGCTATGGTAGGTTAATGCTATGGTAGGTCCTGGTAGGTTAATAGCTCGACCTCTCGAAGTCCTGGTAGGTTAATGCTATGGTAGGTCCTGGTAGGTTAATGCTATGGTAGGTCCTGGTAGGTTAATGCCTTTGTAGGTCCTGGTAGGTTAATGCTATGGTAGGTCCTGGTAGGTTAAAGCCCTGATAGGTTTTGGGAGGTTAATGCTATGGTAGGTCCTGGTAGATTGATGTTATGGTAGGTTAATGCTATGGTAGGTCCTGGCAGGTTAATGCCCTGATAGGTCCTGGTAGGTTAATGCCCTGATAGGTTTTGGTAGGTTAATGCTATCGTAGGTCCTGGTAGATTAATGCCCTGATAGGTTTGGGTAGATTGATGTTATGGTAGGTCCTGGTAGGTTAATAGCTCAACCTCTCAAGGTTCTGGTATATTAATGGCCTGGTAGGTCCTGGCAGCTTAAGGCCCTGGCAGCTCAATACCCCAACCTCTCAAGGTTCTGGTAGATTAATGGCTTGGTGGGTCCTGGAAGGTTAATGGCCTGCTAGGTCCTGGTAGGTTAAAGCCCTGCTAGATCCTGGTAGGTTAATGCCTTCGTAGGTTCTCATAGATTAATGCTGTGGTAGGTCCTGGTAGGTTAATGCAATGGTAGGTTAATGCTATGGTAGGTCCTGGCAGCTTAATGCCTTAATAGGTTCTGGTAGGTTAATGTTATGGCAGGTCCTGGTAGCTTAATGCCTTCGTAGGTTCTGGCTTCTTAATGCTCTGGTAGGTCCTGGTAGATTAATGCTATGGTAGGTTAATGCTATGGTAGGTCCTGGCAGATTAATGGCCTGCTAGGTCCTGGTAGGTTAATATCTTGACCTCTTGAGGTCCTGGTAGGTGAATGGCCTGGTAGGTGCTGGTAGGTTAATGCTATGGTAGGTCCTGGTAGCTTAATGCTTTGGTAGATTCTGGTAGATTGATGCTATGGTAGGTCCTGGTAGGTTAATGGCCTGCTAGGTCCTGGTAGGTTAATGCTATGGTAGGTCCTGGTAGGTTAATGGCCTGCTAGGTCCTGGTAGGTTAATGCCTTCATAGGTTTTGGTAGATTAATGCTATGGTAGGTCCTGGAAGGTTAAAGCCCTGATAGGTTTTGGTAGATTAATGCTATGGTAGGTCCTGGTAGATTGATGTTATGGTAGGTTAATGCTATGGTAGGTCCTGGTAGGTTAATGCCCTGCTAGGTCCTGGTAGGTTAATGCTATGGTAGGTCCTGGTAGGTTAATGTTCTCCTAGGTCCTGGTAGGTTAATGCCCTGCTAGGTCCTGGTAGGTTAATGCCTTTGTAGGTTCTGGTAGATTATTGCTCTGGTAGGTCCTGGCAGCTTAATGCCCTGATAGGTTTTGGGAGATTAATGCTATGGTAGGTCCTGGTAGGTTAATGGTATGGTAGGTCCTGGCAGCTTAAGGCCTTTATAGGTTCTGGTAGATTACTACTATGGTAGGTCCTCATAGGTTAATGCTATGGTAGGCCCTGGTTGCTTAATGCCCTGGTAGGTCCTGGTAGATTAATGCCTTTGTAGGTTCTGGTAGCTTATTGCTATGGTAGGTCCTGGCAGGTTAATGGTATTATAAGTCCTGGTAGGTTAATGCTATGGTAGGTCCTGGTAGGTTAATGCCTTCGTAGGTCCTGGTAGGTTAATGCTATGGTAGGTCCTGGTAGCTTAATGCCTTCGTAGGTTCCGGTAGCTTATTGCTATGGTAGGTCCTGGCAGGTTAATGGTATTATAAGTCCTGGTAGGTTAATGCTATGGTAGGTCCTGGTAGGTTAATGCTAAGGTAGGTTTTGGTAGGTTAATGCTATTGTAGGTCCTGGCAGCTTAATGCCCTGATAGGTTTTGGTAGATTAGTGCCCTGCTAGGTCCTGGTAGATTGATGTTATGGTAGGTTAATGCTATGGTAGGTCCTGGCAGCTTAATGCCTTCATAGGTTCTGGTACATTAATACTATGGTAGGTCCTCATAGGTTAATGCTATGGTAGGTCCTGGTAGATTAATGGCCTGGTAGGTTCTGGTAGATTAATACCCTGCTAGGTCCTGGCAGCTTAATGCTATGGTAGGTTTTGGTAGCTTAAAGGCCTGCTAGGTCCTGGTAGGTTAATGGCTTGGTAGGTTCTGGTAGGTTAATGCAATGGTAGGTTAATGCTATGGTAGGTCCTGGTAGGTTAATGCACTGGTAGGTCCTGTCAGCTTAATGCCTTCATAGGTTCTGGCAGATTAATAAAATGGTAGGCCCTGGTAGATTAATGCTATGGTAGGTTAATGCTATGGTAGGTCCTGGCAGGTTAATGCCTTCATAGGTTCTGGTAGATTAATGCTCTGGTAGGTCCTCATAGGTTAATGCTATGGTAGGTCCTGGTAGCTTAATGCCTTCATAGGTTCTGGTAGATCAATGCCTTCGTAGGTTCTGGTAGGTTAATGCTATGGTAGGTCCTGGTAGGTTAAAGCCCTGATAGGTCCTGGTAGCTTAATGCCTTTGTACATTCTGGTAGGTTAATGCCCTGATAGGTTTGGGTAGATTGATGTTATGGTAGGTCCTGGTAGGTTAATGTTATGGTAGGTCCTGGCAGCTTAATGCCCTGATAGGTTTTGGTAGATTAATGCTCTGCTAGGTCCTGGTAGATTAATGCCATGCTAGGTCCTGGTAGATTTATGTTATGGTAGGTTAATGCTATGGTAGGTCCTGGTAGGTTAATGCTATGGTAGGTCCTGGCAGCTCAATGCCCCAACCTCTCAAGGTTCTAGTAGATTAATGGCTTGGTAGGTCCTGGTAGCTTAATGCCTTCATAGGTTCTGGTAGGTTAATGCCCTGGTAGGTCCTGGCAGCTTAATGCCCTGATAGGTTTCGGCAGGTTAATGCCATGGTAGGTCCTGGTAGGTTAATGCCATGGTAGGTCCTGGTAGGTTAATGCTATGGTAGGTCCTGGCAGCTTAATGCCCTGATAGGTTCCGGTAGCTTAATCCTATGGTAGGTCCTGGCAGGTTAATGCCCTGCTAGGTTCTGGTAGATTGATGCTATGGTACGTCCTGTTAGATTACTGCCATGTTAGGTCCTGGTAGGTTAATAGCTAGACGTCTTGAGGTCCTGGTTGGTTAATGCCCTGGCAGCTCAACAACCCGACCTCTCAAGGTCCTGGTAGATTAATGCTATGGTAGGTCCTGGCAGCTTGGTATGGGTTGTTATGGGTTGTTATGGGTTGTTATGGGTTGGTATGGGTTGGTATGGGTTGGTTGGTATGGGTTGGTATGGGTTGGTATGGGTTGGTATGGGTTGGTATGGGTTGGTATGGGTTGGTATGGGTTGGTTGGTATGGGTTGGTATGGGTTGGTTGGTATGGGTTGGTTGGTATGGGTTGGTATGGGTTGGTATGGGTTGGTTGGTATGGGTTGGTATGGGTTGGTTGGTATGGGTTGGTTGGTATGGGTTGGTATGGGTTGGTTGGTATGGGTTGGTATGGGTTGGTATGGGTTGGTATGGGTTGGTATGGGTTGGTTGGTATGGGTTGGTATGGGTTGGTATGGGTTGGTTGGTATGGGTTGGTATGGGTTGGTTGGTATGGGTTGTTATGGGTTGTTATGGGTTGTTATGGGTTGGTATGGGTTGGTATGGGTTGGTATGGGTTGGTATGGGTTGGTTGGTATGGGTTGGTTGGTATGGGTTGGTATGGGTTGGTATGGGTTGGTATGGGTTGGTATGGGTTGGTATGGGTTGGTATGGGTTGGTTGGTATGGGTTGGTATGGGTTGGTTGGTATGGGTTGGTATGGGTTGGTATGGGTTGGTATGGGTTGGTATGGGTTGGTATGGGTTGGTATGGGTTGGTTGGTATGGGTTGGTATGGGTTGGTTGGTATGGGTTGGTTGGTATGGGTTGGTATGGGTTGGTATGGGTTGGTTGGTATGGGTTGGTATGGGTTGGTATGGGTTGGTATGGTTGGTATGGGTTGGTATGGGTTGGTATGGGTTGGTTGGTATGGGTTGGTATGGGTTGGTATGGGTTGGTTGGTATGGGTTGGTATGGGTTGGTATGGGTTGGTATGGGTTGGTATGGGTTGGTATGGGTTGGTATGG